TTAGTGGAAGCACCTCTATTAAGTTTTCCTTAAGAAGAGGACTAATAATCAATCTTAAGAAGGCGTTAAAAAGAAAATTAATGACCTTTGATCATATTGATTATAATCTGTGGGTAGTTATACAAAAAAGATTATGTTAGATTTATGATTTTGAATGTCTGGTGGTAAAGTTGGATTCTTCTTGTTGGCTACTTTTCTTCTTTTCAACACCATGGTGCTATACCAGTTAAAAGTAGTCTTATTTTGCAAATTTGGGATTAAAAGATCAGATGAGTGGACCCTATCTCCTGAATTCCTGAAAAAATCTCACTAGCAAAGTATTACTGTTGTTTTGAATTAATAATCTCGTATACTTAGTACGAGACTACGAGTATTATTTTGGATGTGTTTATTTTGAATGTGTGAAAGAAATTATCACATTTTATATCATATAAAATAATAATGGTTTATGAATGAATTTTCTAATATGCAACTACTTAATTAAGTGATGAAAAATGAAAAAAAAATGCCAACTATTTTAAAAGGTCTTTTTGAAAATTGCATATCCCATACATTCTTAAAAAAATGTAACACTTTTTTGCTTGTTTCATAATAATGAAAATTCCTACTTTAATAATTTGATTACTGCTAGCGACAACAAATTCACCACCAACCAACAATTATTGGATAAAATGTGACGACTATTTTGAAATGGAGGGAGTATTTGTATAAGAATCTTTTCTTTCTCCTACCCAGTAGTATTTAACTACAAAATTTGTGCTTGATTGAACAATCTTTAGCATATGATTTATTTTATACAGTTTTAAAAAAACTGTTACTAACTGTTTAACTGTGCAGAGTGTCATGATGAGGCTCACTCAACGGCATCTTCATTCTTCAGTAGACACTAGGTCTGTATTGGGATTCACTTAAAGTGAGAATTTAAGAAAAGGTTAAAGGAATGGGAATTTTTCCTTATATAAACAAGATGTTTGCATCAAAAGTATAAACTACGGAGTATTTTCTTTGCTCTTTCCATAATATAACTCCAAAATCTTTTGTATGAGCACAAATAAGAAAAAAGATTCTCAAATCTCACTTAATTAGTGTAAAAAAAAAAAAAAAAAAAGAGACAGAAAAAGGAGCACCATTGGTACATTGCTACACACATGTTCTTAGCTGCATTTTTTCATCTCACTATTGCTAGTCAGCAGATATGAATATTCATAACACTTTTAGACTGAAACTGATTATGTCATTTGACCTAATAATGAGGGATGCAACGGACAATTAAGAGTTAATAATGGCATAGTATTGTATATAACTATATAAGCAAAGCAGTACATGTACGGCCGAAAGGAGTTTGCTTTTATGATGGATGGTATATTATTAAAGTATAAAATTTGATAAAGTTTCCCTCCTAGTTCCAGGTGATTTTGAGATCGATTCTCATCATTCGCCCTTTATAGCTCTCTAAACACCAAAATTAAAGTATAAAGTTTTCCAAATTGAATAAGTTTGCTGAGATTCAAGTTTGGCACTTAATTATTTATATTCTTTTTTTTTTTTTTTTTTTTTTTTTTTTTTTTTTTTGGTACCTTAAGTTTTAGTTTCCGTTAATTCAAGCATTTCTTAGTTTCAACTTTCAAATTTTGTTAACGCTTGACATAATTTCATTGTAATAAATTTTCTATAACACAGCTAGACATAATTTCATTGTAACTCTTGCTAAGATGTGGTTTGAGTCGACGAGGGAGCTCCTAGGGTTGGTTTGAGGTGGTCCAAAAGTACACAACCATAACATACAAGTAACACAAGAAACTACGATAGAGATGGTTTATTCATGAAAACCCCAGATATTACACACACATAGTTTGAAGATAATTCCATAATAAGTTGTCAAGAGGAGATATAATTATGAGTACTAGTTTTTCAATAACCAGAAAAGCAAACAAAAACATAACAATACTAATAATAACACAACATCAAACTCCCACCTATAATGATAAGCACACCTAATACAATAGGTCTACAAAGAAGCATACACATGGCTTTGTTGTTTATACTTCTGCTAAAAAAGGTTAAGATAAATTCAAATAAGATCTTTCAAGGTTTTCTCCTTTCTGGTTCCCTCTAGGGTTTCTTCATTAGGAGAGTTTTTCTAGCCTCTATTGCTAGATTTTTTCTGCATTTTTGAAGGTTTTCCTTCACTCTTCTCCTTTTATCTCTGTCTCTGTCTCTTTCATCTCTTTTCTTCTGGTCTCCTTTGTGAATCTTTGTAGGAGCTTCCACCGGTGTTTTTATTGGTGGTAAGCCCCAAAAACCATTATAATCGATTTCAATAAATGGATCCCATCTTTAAGATGGTGGTTCTTCTATTAGAATTAATTTCTTTTTTTGTTTGTCTGCCGAAAATTGAAGATTTAGGATTTTATAATATCCAGAAGTATCTAGAAGACCATATGAGTATTTTCATTCAAACAACTATTCATCAGTGGATCTCAAACCGAATTAGTGCTAACTCACAGATTGTATGGCTTCGGATGAAGTTTTTTTTTTTTTTTTTATTAAGGCTATCGTTGATCGAATCTGCGATGTAACTAATTATAAGGTGATTTGTACTTGTGTTGGTATTCTAAAGTTTCTAGGAATTTGTTTATAAGTGTCATTTGACTATCTTTCATTAATGAAATCATTTTTCTTTCGGTTAAAAAAAAAAAAAAAATACCAAAAACTTTCAAGACTAAAAAATAATTTTAGATTTAGATAAAGGCAAATACATTTAGAAAAACTTACTTAAATTTAAAAGAGACTTCCGATAAAAAAAGGTACAAACATGAGAAAAAGAATCCCACACAAAGAATAAAAAACAAAGCACATACATTAAATCGACTGTCTGAATTCAAACCCTTAACTAATTCCAATAAACGGTCATGTCCATCGTTGGTTTTAGCCAAGTCAAATATAATCCTATAAGCTTAATCCGGTACTTCTTCATTCTACCTCTTATTCTCTAATACATCCAATATTCCAAACCTTCCAAAAACTCTTAAGTATTCTTTTAATTTTGCTGACCTTGAAGACCTTTACATAAGAATTTTCTCTAGATGTCTAATCTCTCATAAGTGCCATTACTCATCCATCAGTTTTATCAATGCAAGCCAATAACTAAATCTAAATACCATTAAAGTGGACCCTTCAATTCAAGAAACTCATATCTGTGATGTATAACTCTGTATATCCATATGATGTTATCACAATAATCCAGAATTCTCATACATATATTTTCATAAGAAATTGGCCTGGTTAGACTAATTTACTTGGCTTGTTTGACTAGGCATTGATAAATGTATATGTGTCTAATTAGATCAATTATAAGTATAGAAATTAATCAAAGACAAAAACCCTAATTTCAAGCATTCCCTTCCACTCTCCCAACACCACAGTGACCACATGTCCTATTGCATTATCATCTAATACTGCCACATCAATTTTAAGTATTCTGATACGTGACACTACAATTTTTGATCATAGTACCACCTTATGCTCGCCACCATTGAACTTTCATAATTACCCGTGCTTCATCAACACCACTCAAACCGTCATAAACACTCTTTTTCACATTGTTCTAAGCCTCTAGAGATCAACTACATATTACTCCGTGATCCCTGACATGAAACAAAATTTATAACTCGAGGTTCCTTAATCACAATTTTATAAAGCTTCAAATGCTCATCTTAGACACAATGATCCCGAATATCACTCTTATGGTCAAGTAATAAAGGTCATATCATAAAGATCATATCATAAAGTAGTCATGTTCATCTGTTTCACAGTGAAGCAAATCCAACTTCCACCTACAAGCAGTCGCGTATCTAAATATATAAGCAGGTAGCACAAGACTAAGTGTAGCCCAAAGTTCCCAAATGTTTATGGAATATTTTAAAATTTTGTTACCTTCTTAAAATAAAGTAGATTTCACTTCTAAATTTTCTTATACTATCGTATGATGTATAAGAGTTTATATGTACATGTATAAGAATTTACTTATACTCTTAAACAAAAGTTTTTACTCTATCTTATATTATAATAAGATGCATAATATTATGAAATACTCGCAGCGAGTATTATAAGATGTAATAAAAAAAAAAAAAAATTATTGATACGGAGGAATTAATAAGCCATTGAATAACTATAAAATAGTCTTATAATAGTATAAGTAAAGCTCACGTATACTATCTGAAATTGTAGAAAATTTTCCTATAAAATAAAACATTCTCTTCATTCTTCTAAATCACAGATAAGACTGCAATAAATACTGTGAAGTACTGGTATAATTTTACAACTTAAAAAATGTTAATACTAGAGAACAGTGTTGTTCATCACATCTACAAAACCTATGACCAAACCATATTATAATTTACTTGTATTGATGATAACGCATTCGTGATGGGAAAAGTATAATTGTTTAAAATAGTCAATATTGTTTGTATTAATTCATGTATTTATTAAAGTTAATAAAGAGATTAAAGTAATATTTATTAAGTCAATACAAGTGTATGACAGTATGAGAGAGGAGGGTGGGACTGTGGGAGGGTGATGGTGGGGTACTAAGGAAGAAGGCACGCATGGGAGTAACCCACCACCCCTCGTGCGTGCATGCTATCTTATTCTATCTATCAATGGCGGCTTCAATTCATAGACAATCACCTCTCTCTCTCTCTCTCTTTTCTGGCTTTCTCCCTTTTTCCCTACTCCTCTATTACCCATGATTATTCGCATGCCTCCAAACAGAACCTTGTTCCTTATAGCAATTAGAGACTGTCTTTTCAGCTTAGCAATACATCAAGAGAGAAAATTAGAAAAAGTCTAGCAACAAGGATATATATGGAAAACAACCAAATTCATTTGGAAGCCTCATTTTTAATTAGTAGTATAACATCTTTTATGGCCCTACATTGTGGGCCATGAAGTTATACTATATAGGGACCCAATCACTCCCTTGTATTCTTATATTTATACTCCACAACTTTGGTCCAAAAATCTCAACATCTCTATCCTTCCCTCTCTTCTTACTCCCATCATATTCTGAAACTACTGCTTTATAGTTTTAGTAAAAATGGCGGATAGTGGTGCTGCTCACTCTAAGAGGATGTGGTGTTCGATCCCCGAAAAGTTCCAGCTGCATGCAGCTATGCTGGCGTTGCAGTTTGGGTATGCCGGTTTTCATGTGGTCTCTAGAGCTGCCCTTAACATGGGAGTAAGCAAGCTTGTCTTCCCTGTGTATAGGAATGTCATCGCTTTGCTTCTCCTCCTTCCTTTCGCCTATTTTCTCGAAAAGTATGTCCTTGAACAATGATCACTCATTTCTTCTTACATTTCACATGTGTTTTTTTTGGGTCTGTATTTGGCCTTAACCTACATGAAGCGCTACTAACTGTCTTGTTTTGCTATCAGGAAGGAGAGGCCTGCCATTACTTTTTCATTCTTAGTTCAGTTCTTCCTTCTGGCACTAGTTGGGTATGATTCATATACAAGACGATCACACACTTCCAATTATAACAATTTAGCGCAGTGACATGTAAAATAATTAATGAATTATCTTATGTACGTACCTTTTCACAGAATAACAGCAAACCAAGGATTCTATTTGCTGGGTTTGGACAATACATCGCCCACTTTCGCCTCGGCTGTTCAGAATTCTGTCCCTGCTCTCACCTTCCTCATGGCTGCACTTCTCAGGTCAGCCTGTCCATCTCTTAAAGCGCTATTCACAATCAAACTGCACATCAGATTAAAGTCATTAAACATGCACGTGTTTTACGCAAAACATAAAGAGCATACACCATCAACGTAAATCTCACAAGAAAAATGTCAAAATTTATACAAGAACATACTTCAGATAATATTGTTAAAAGAAAAGGTACCTAAAAACAATTACTCCCCTCTATCTCATTAGGTGTGACATAAGGTCTTTCTAGGCTTGTTCCAAAGAGAACTGTCACATCTAAGTAATCAGTGCAGTTTACACACGATTGAGCATTTATATCCCAAATAAAATAAAATAATCCTAACAAATAACTAATAATAGAGAATAAGGACATGAACTGGACGTATAATAATACTAATAAATGTATTTTTTTAAAGAATGGTTTTATTTTATTTTTTATTTTAAAAAGAGACAATCACAGCAGGACGGTGGTATTGAAAAGCTTGGTTGTAAATTCTGCAGGATAGAGAAGGTGAGACTAGACAGAAAGGATGGTATAGCGAAGGTGCTAGGAACAGCATGCTGTGTAGCAGGGGCCACAATTATTACATTATACCAAGGTCCAGTGATATACTCCCCCAACAAAGAACTCCACGATACGACGCCGGTGCTTCTCTCATTAGGAGATGCCAATGGCAAGAGTTGGACCTTGGGATGCATCTTCCTAATTGGACATTGCCTGTCATGGTCTGGTTGGCTAGTCTTGCAGGCACCTGTTCTGAAGAAGTACCCAGCACGGCTCTCTGTCACCTCCTACACTTGCTTCTTTGGGTTGATACAATTTATGGTTATTGCTGCCATCTTTGAGAGGGACTTTGAAGCTTGGAAGTTCCATTCGGGTAGTGAACTCTTCACTATCATGTATGCGGTAAGCAACTCAAAATCTAAGTCCAATAATACCCATATTAATTATTATGCATATAAGCATATTATACAGTACTATACAATAACGTCAAGTTCATGTGACAAATAGTTGTTACAGAAAATTTTTCCTCTCACAATCTTACATTGGCTGGGCAACAAATTAGAAATTAGGCACCATCATAACACCCTTAACATAACCTTTTGTGTTCAATTGTTCATGCATGCGTTTTTTCTTTTTCTTTTTTTTTTTTAGCTCGTTCAATGACCATGTGATTAGTAATAAAATTAAGAACATCCAAGAGTTTAAGGCAGTTTATTGATAAGAGTGTATGCTGCGATCATTATACCATCATCATCCTTATGGTGCAACCTTTAAAAGATGCACCAATCATCGAGATATTTTAACTCAGTAACTCGCTAGATTACTTAAACAGTTAAACTATTGGAGAACTTATGAAGTGGTTCTAGATAAATAAGAGGGGGCACATACATTCAATAGCCTCCCATGTATAGTAGTTTTCAGTTGATGTATCACCTCATATGAAGTAATGAGCTGAACAATGGGGGAGATTTGTAAGATTAAGTCTAGCCAATTAGTTGAAAAAAGGCAGAATAAGGTTGGTCAGTAAAGTAACATTTTAACTATTTCCCCACTCAATAATCATAGGTACCCCAACCCATGTGGAATCCACAACTCGTAGGACTAATAGCTCACTAAATTTATATAGTACAAGTACAAAATACAGCCATACAAGCATATATGAATATACAATGTTCTCTTAAAGAGTTAAGCATGTAATTTGCAACTCTTTGGAACCTCAAAAGCAACTAGAAGATTAACAAATGACGACACCGGGAGGTTTTGAAAGATCAATGTAATTATTTAAGAGGTATCTTCACATTTATTTTATATCATTTCTCCATTCATTTTTAGTTGTAACATTTTGACTTTCACACTTGTCAATGCATAATTTCAACCCTTTATATCCTTATACATGAATGAAAAAAATAAAAATTTGATATTGTAAAAATATAAATTGAGACGAATCTAACAACAACTCATATGACTACGTTTTACCCATCATATAAATTAACAAAGGTGGGTCAAATGTTAAACTTTGAAAAAAGTGTAAATTTTTAAATGTAACTAAAAGTGAACGAAGGAAGTACAATACCGCACATCTACACCACCCAAATCTTATTTTTATTGAGGTTTCAAAACTCCTACTTGGCTATTTGGATCACCCTGGATTTTTGAAGAAATGAGGGAGAGATTACATGTTTGAGTCCTTACCAAGAATGTCCATTAGGTTCAAACCCGGATAAAGAGACCATAGTTAACAGGTAAATATAGAAATTGGCACATCGTTCACGTACCATGTACATAAGCACAAATCACTTTCGCTAAAGTTTGTTAGGTTAGGTGCTCTGGCTACTTTACTTTTTTTCACTTTCAGTAAACTGAAGTTTAAGTTAATCATGAAATGCCAGTTAATGACTTTACAAGGGTGCAACTAATAATAATTGAAATGAGATATTATTGTGAAATGTTATGTTCACTTAAAAAATTTGCTAACTAATTCAATACATTTGCAGGGAGTGGTAGCATCAGGGATCGCTTTCGCTGTACAAATATGGTGTATTGATAGGGGAGGCCCAGTATTTGTAGCAGTTTATCAACCTGTTCAAACTTTGGTTGTCGCTATTATGGCTTCCATTGCTTTGGGAGAGCAATTCTACTTGGGAGGGTCAGTACTAAACTTTCTTCTTGTATTACTATATCTTTCTCCCCCACCCACAAACTATCTATCTCAACTTTCACTATCCTAGGCAACTCTAATCAATATTAACACTCCACCCCACAAAAAAGGAGAGATTAAATTAAGGAAAAGGAAAAGGGATGAAATTAGAAAGGAAAAAAAAAAACAGAGCACTCATCAATCATGCAATTAAGTATGACCTACTTGCATGACCCATTTTGCAGCTAAGTTAGGTAGTATTCCATAAGGTTTGTGGCATATCAATTAGTCATTTTGGTTAGACAATATTGGATAGAGTTTTAATTTTAAATTGGATGAGTAATCTAACTGACAATGATTGAAAAATATGTTGGCAGGATCCTAGGGGCAATATTGATCATAGCGGGACTCTACCAAGTTTTGTGGGGTAAGAGTGAGGAGGCAAAGTTTGCCAAGGCTGCAATCCAGTCTCCAGCAGAGCATGGAAACAACAGGACATCAAGCCAAGCAAAGTCCCTTACTCAACCCCTTCTCCCCCCATCAGACAACGTCTAGTGACCACAACAAAATGAACCTTGAATTGGTGGCTCGGGTTGGAAAACAAGCAAACTACTACTACTGCGTCAAAAGAGTTTGTTTTTTTGGTGTGTGTATCAAGTTTTCATTCAATTAGTGTCCTCTCACTAGGAGATGGGCTAAAGCCTAAAGGGAGTAAAAAAGGAATAGGTATTAGGGAAGAATGTGATGATTTTTACTATCTCTAAAGGTGTGTATCAAGGGGAGCTTAAACCCCCACACCCCCACCAACTCCACGCTTTACATCGTAATTAATGGTTTGATTTACAAAGAAAGAAAATGCACTTTCAAGAAAAATTTTGTGGCGTGCCAGATGTATGGACCCATGTCCATTTCCTGTCTTAAACACTATTCAGAAATGGAAATGCATATTCAACTTTTTTGCGCTTTTATGGTAATGACTTATATGTGATGATTTCATTACAAACTAACCAACCAATTCTGATGACTTTATGGATTTATGTAAATCATGATAAATTATGATTCCATATTTACATAGGTAAATAATTTTAACACATGTAAATGCAATAACCACAACACACGCCAGAATATCTAATTTCAACAGGAATATATTTTTTCAAGATTTGTTAGATACCTGGATGAGGGAGACAACACTGCAGGATTCCATGAACAATTATAGAGAAGCAGCAGTAGACTTTCTGGGGAAAATTAAATACATCTGAACTACAGTCGTTTGCCAATGTGCTGATAAATTCAGCTCCTGTAAAACAAACAGAACAACAGAAAGCACATGTAGATGAAATTACATTAATCACTAACAAACAATGTTTTTTTATAATAAGTGGCTATTGAATATAGATCAGTAGTATCAGCATTATCAAAAATCCTTCTGCGATAAGTTGTTCATTGACAATCGGATCTAGATGAAGCTTACATTAGATTAGATTGTCACACTTTAACAGCAAAATCAATAACTTTTAACCATTATTAAAGACAGTTACATTTTATAAGATTTGTACAGAATTCCTAAACTATAGAATTTGAGCCTTAAGCATATCTATACTCTCACTGTTTACATACAGGTATGCAGAAATGTCAAAGAAATATACAAAGTATAAAACACCAAGTGGGCACAATATATGAATATTTGACTCAATTGTAAGTAGGCTCAAATGTTTCAAAATTGGTGAACACAGAATGCGACATGCAGCTAGTACTTAGAAGTTGATAATTTGACCAAGGAACAGAACAAAAATCTCAGGGGTTTCAAAGTTCAAATCCCAAATTACAGGGGTAAAGAAAGTTGTCCCAAAATGTAACTAAGATTAATATGAAGACTAAAATAGAGGTACATGAACAAGGTTTGGAGAAGCATCAAGTAACCAATGAAATTTATGAAAAATAAAATAAGTAATCCATGAGTATAAGTTGTTTACAAGAAAAAATAGGATATACATTAATAAAATATAGATCAAAACTGATTTATTATGCATTCACCATCCTCAACCCCAAAACTTCATTGCAAATCTAGCTACTGGAAAACTTTAGGCAAGACAAGCCAAATTTTAACAGATCCCAAGAGAGCATAGTGAAAATGCAGGTCTCCTCAAGGACTATTATTACAACAATTAGAGCCTTTCCAGAAAGCATTTGTTTTCAAGGAGGTGCCTTTTCTTTTCATTATGTGAATTATATCAATTTCTTTCAGCTTATATAGTATTAATCTATACAATCTGCCCCACCATGCTACCACGCCTCTTCCTTTTCCAATTTCCTCTTGGCCATCAGTTCTTACAACCAAGATCCTTTTACACTCCATATGGTGGAGGCAACACTAACAGTATACTTCGTATTCCATTAATTCTCCAACAGTCCAACTAGATCTTCCTATCTTCCCAACAGAACCAGTCCTGCAGTATTTCTCCAACACTGGAAAAGGACATGCAATCCGAGTGATGGACCTTTAGAGATAAAATTGGCTTTCAGAACCTAGACTATATCTTAAAAAACTTACAGTCACTAAATTTCAACCAGCCACAGTAATTCAGTGACAGAGATGTGGATTGCAGCCATTAAGTTCACTTCTCGTGGAGAAAAGAAACTTACAAATACAGAAAGTCTCAATCAATTTCATATCATGATCAAATTCCATGGAGTCATTGTATTACAGGAACTTGAATCTTAATGAAAGCAAAGCAAATGACAAATTTAATATAGGAGCATGAAGCTTTATTCCGAACACTCTCCCAAAGATGATGAAACATAATAAAATGGCCCTACTCACCATTAAAAACAAGAAGCATGAACATAAAAATCAACAGCTATATTCCATCATGTGGAAAGTGAAACGATTACCACAAAAACCATTTAATTACACTAACACTAACAGTCTAACAGCAGGAAAGCTTAGGCATGAATGCAATCAGGATATGCTTATATATGAAATATTTTAAAATTTTCAACAAATCTCAAGTAAGTAGCTTATGGCACAGATAAATAAACTTGCCAACATTGCAGGGATCAAGAGAAGATTTCATTTTAAAGAACTAAGGATCATTTACTAGTTTGTACTTCTTTTGGAGTCTAAACATACAAACAAGACTATTGGTACTTTTAGATCCCATGTTAATACAATTTATACCAACATGAGGTCTAAAAGTACTAGCGGACATTGGTTATTGTCATTCATAACTAGAGTAATTATTTCAGAGTTGATAATTACAGCTCAAATTATCAAGTTTTATGCTTGTTATACAATTAAGCTAGAAATGTCGAGCTCGTTTCAATATTTTTTGTATGAATTGGTAACCTAAATTTTCTCTCTATCTAACCCAAATTACTGTCTATAACTTCAATACAACATAATATGTCACTTTACATCAATATCATACTATAAGTCATAGCAATTCCAATGCAACATGCCAAATTGCCAATCGACAATACACAATTTTAACTAAATTTCCTCGAACTCTTTAATTGGGTGATGAAATTCATACATTTCTAATTTTTGGTCATATGATATCTTTCTCTTACCCTAACTAAATCAAATCAACAATTATTGATTAATTTCCCAGCATGTTGTAATCTCTCTCTTCCTAATCGAAATTCTGCCATTCTAATTCTTTCGGACTGAAACAATTAGCAGCGAAAATTGTCCCTAGGTTTATGGAAAATTGAAATTGCGCAAGAGATTGAAGGTGAAATCAGACGATGCAAAGTAGTATGAAATTGAAAAATTACGAAAGAGCAATACATCGAAAACCCTAAAATTAGTATAATCGGGATTTGAGAGGGGACCTGTTACTGCTGGTTGCTTTGGCCGAAGCCATGTTCTTTGGCGCCAAAGCTTCAAAATCTTTTTAGGGAAAGCGAAGTTTCGAGGGGTCAAAGTGAAATATAGGGAAAGTTTATGATAAATTGGTAATGTCTGATATTGATCAATCTATCACGTTTTACCTAATATCACGTTTTAGCTAAGTGTTTTATATTAGTATTTTGAATTAGAATCTTGCTAGCGAACGTCCGGGGTGTTAGATAAGCATTTAAAATACTTCCTAAAATAGTATTAATTTAGGAATGCATGACAAAATCACGCGTTGATCAGTGTAATTAATACTAGTATAACCATCGTTTCATCTCATTTCAATCCCCTTTATATCTTCATTTATTGATGGTTGAATTCATGAATATTTAATTAAAGTATTTTCTATGTGTGATTAGCCATCATTAAACATCATATAGGTACCCTTAGTGAAAGATCGAAAGATGAAGTTAAGGGGTTGCCTCAAATTGATCATTAGGCTAGAACGACTATGAAAACAGGGAATACCTAGCCTAGGGGACTTTGTTTTTTGGTCTGTTTGTGCTCATAATGTTGATTGATATGCTTAGGTGATTGTCTTAGTTATAAAAATAGATCTTTGGTAGGAGATTAGGCCAATCTAGCTAGCTTGAAAAGTAGTTAAAGTATTATTGGATGAATCATTCCCTTCATAAGTGTTAGGAAATAAGGGTGTAATTGTTTTTTATTAATGCGGAACAAGTCAATGAAAAATAAGAACGAGAAAAGCAATAAAGAAGATAAACAAAAAACACAAGGATATACGTGGTTCGGTCAAATTAGACCTACATCCACGGGTGGGGGATTCGAGAGCTTCTTCACTGTAATGGAGAAAGAACGAGAGAATAATACCTAAATCTAATGGCTCAAAAGGTATGATCTAATTGATCAACTAAAGGGTCCTTTTATAACATAACGAAACCCTAATTAAACCCTAAAATTGTTCCCCAAGTATACTCAAATAGATGTCATAGAAAAGATATAATTTTAGGAAATTATCCCTAAAATAATTAAGCTAAAACCGGACCAAAAAAACTGAAATTTCGACTAGGCATGGGCGTGCCTGGTCGCATACTTCGTCAGCATATTTCCAGCAATGTCAGTTGTTCGTAAAACGGTCATAACTTTCTCGTTTCTTATCGGAATTAGGCATATGTCCTATCGTTGGAAAGATCTTGAAACAAACTATCACCTCCAACTTGAATAATCTCAAAATCATTTATAGTTTGAGAGATATCTGCATTTAAAGTCAGCCCAACTAGATCTCGAGTCACAATTTAACAATAAGAGCTCGAAAAGGTATTGGGATATCAACAAGTGCATGGCCCATATTTAATAAAAAGTTGATGATTTATTTACAACTTTGTCATTTGATAAACAAAATTGATTTATCAAAGATGATAAACTTGTATTTTATCTTTGAAAAAAAGATGCATTACATTCACATGAAATGATAAGTATGGTCCATTGGTCCCAGAAAGTAGAGTTTCATGTCTTTGCAGGCTGCAGCTAACAACTAGAAAGTTTATTCTTCTTCTCATCCAGTAAATAATGTGGTAATTCCAACAAAAAAAGAAAAAAAAAAATAGAGAAGGAAAGCATAGTATCAAAGATGATAAACCCCTTGGTCTTGAGTACAACATTACATAAACATAGTTAAAAGTAAAGCGAAAATTGGTTGTTTCTAGTCTTTCTACTACACAGCCTAAACCATAACAAGCCAAAATGCTGGAGTAATACACCCTCCCCTGCTATAGTTACAAAGAGCATTAAGTTCTGAGATTAGGGAAACAGCCTTGATAAGGTCCTGAGTATAGACAGAGACCACTAGACCAGATCACTTGGTGGAGCAAAGTGATAGAGCCTCTCCTCTACTTGCGTCCTACTCATATTTGCTAGGCCATGAGCAAGAGCATTAGCCAATTGCTTGGCATGGAGAAGGGTAACCTGCCATTCTCTTCAAAGCAAAGCCGACATGTCCTTAATCAATGCTCCCAAATCGTGGTCCATGTAGGCTGCCTCGTTTTCGAGCATGTATTTCAAGGCCTAAGCGTCAGTTTTGAGCTCAATATTTCTCTCCCAGGCAGTAGACAAGCTTTCTCTAATGGCTAGTAGCTTGGCAATAGCAGCACCTATTTTCTTGAAATTGAGCGAGTAGGCAATTTCCCAAAGATCTTTGTCACATCTAATCACCCTTCCTCCACCTGCATTATCCATAGCAATCCAGGATCATCTGTGTTTAATTTGTAATACCCTTTTTGTAGTGGCACCCAAGTTCTGTTAGACATTCCAACCTCGGAGGATGAAGGCTAGTTCAGATCAACCTGTTTCATGTTAATAGTAATCTGATAATCAACCCAAATTTTATTTAAATAAGAGTAGCTCGATAGAGATTTGTTTTCGAATACAACAATGTTACTCATCAACCACAAATGCCAGATTGATATACAAAAAATTATGTTTCATTCGCCACCAATATTCAAGTTGAAGTTTAACCAATCTGTAAAGTTGGTGTTGTAAAACAAATGCAGATCCATAATTTTTTTGTAATTTCTTTCAAATACTATGGACCAAAAGGCAGAGCTTGTTGGACAATCCCTAAAAATAAAGGCAATCTTCAACAGAAGCATTACAACAAATACAAGCAGGGTTAAAATCTGGGATTTTTCGAGCTAAAACACTCTTTCCACATCTTATATTTGAAAGGGACTTCAAATTTCCACATTCTTTTCCAAGAGAAATTGTTTAGGAAAGTAGTACTCCGTATTACAATCTAAGAGGCATGATATGCTGATTTAATAGTAAATGATCCAGTTTTATCAAACTTCCAATGGAGAGTAACCTGAGAATCATGAAAAAGAGGGAGGGGCATAGATTGTATTTAAAGTTGAAGATGAGAAGGAATAATATTGCAACATCAGTCAATTACCATTTGTAATTTTTTATAATTAGACCCTCCAATGACCAAGATAAAGAGATTGGTCTCCTATCCAATGGTGATACCGCATGTAAATCTCATTACCATCTCCAATGTTAATAACTAGACCCTTTCTAAGGATATCTCTTCTTCCATGAATATCTCTCCATATAGGTGTGGCGGTTTTGATAGGCAGTCCAAAAAATTCGAGTATTTTATATATTTAGCCTTTGAATTTGCACCAAAATTTTATTCAGTTGGTGTTAGATTGTGACTTGAAATCCAGTAGGGCTGATTTTGAATGCAGATATCTCTCAAACTATAAGCGATTTTGAGGTGATTCAAGTTGGAGGTGATAGCTTGGTTCAAGATCTTTCCAACTATATGTCATATACCCAATTCTGATAAGAAACGAGAAAGTTATGACCGTTTTACGAAAACCTGACGAACCTGGAAAGTTGCGACGAGCATGCGAGCTATAGCTCGGCCCTTTGAAGACTTGTGGCAGGCTTGAGCTAGCTGCCGAGCTATAGCTCGGTAGTTCGGTTCTTCTAAGATAATTTATGGGATATTTCCTAAAATTATATCTTTTCTATGATGACTATTTAAGTATACTTGGGGAACAATTTAGGGTTTTTATTAGGGTTTCCTTGTGTTATAAAAGGACCCTTTAGTTGATCAATTAGATCCTACCTTTTGAGCCATTAGATTTAGGACTCCTTGTATTATTCTCTCGCTCTTTCTCCATTATAGTGAAGAAGCTCTCGAATCCCCCACCTATGGATGTAGGTCTAATTTGACCGAACCACGTAAATCTTTCTGTTCTTTGTTTATCTTCTTTATTGCTTTTCTCGTTCTTATTTTTCATTGACTTGTTCCGCATTAATCAAACACAATTATACCCTTATTTCCTAACAATTGGGTTAAGATCTTCCATACTAATTTGGCCATAAATGTTTTGAATTCCTAGCCCCCTTTATAAGTAGGATCACACACAACTTTCCAATTAGTACGAGGTATGTATTTAGATCTATCAACCCTATTCCAAGGAAATTTTTACATTTTTTTCTAAATCTTTGATAACCCAAGAGGGAGGATATTAGTTTGTATAGCATACATGGGGTAGGAATTCAAGACTGATTTAATAAGGGTGCATTTTTAAGCCATGTTAGTAATTTGGCTTGCCAACTTTTGTTCCTAGAAGAAGTTTTATCTAACAAATCATAATATTCAGCAATCTTTAGCTTATTATAATTAATTGTAATTCCGAGGTATTTTACGAAATCGACAGTTTTGGAGATGTTACACACTTCACATATAGACTTTCTTACATTATAATCCTTCTTTTTTTTTTTTTTTTTTTTTTTTTTGGAAAAATAACAGAAGTTTTTTCTTTTTCTTTGTCTTCTTTTTTTTTTTTTTGTAAACCCGAAAATTTGCTTAAAATCCTCTAGCTCTTACATCATCTCATGAATGTTATCAACGTTAGCTTTTCCAAGACATCATCGGCATAAATTAAGTGGAAAAGGTTAATGTTTTTAGCAATCTTTATTGTTTCCAACTTTTGTTACTAACCTTTTTCTTCTCCTTGCCCTATTCCACGAGAAGAAGTAAAGCTAGGAGTAATTCGGCCATTCCATAAAACTGATATATTAGGGGTGCATATGGAACTCAAAATTTAGTTATTTGAATTAGAAAGGTTAATACTATGAAGGGTGTCTCTAATAAAGTCCCATTCTATGGCATCTATGCTACCAAAAGCTTAAGAAATATCTAGCTTTAAAGCCATTAAGTTAGCTTTTTTAGATGCTTTATAAATATGGTGAGCAACTTCATTTATAATAAAGACATTTTCTTCAATTGAGCGATTAAGAATAAAACTAGATTGAACAAAGCTTATCAAATTCTCCATTAAGGGAATTAACTTTTAACTTCGAGCAATACATTCAGTAATGAGTTTATATATGGAGTTGCATAACCCTATAAGCCTAAAGTCTTTCATGTAAGTAGGAGCTTCACATTTAGGGGTAAATACGAGTCATTTATTTATTTTGGAACACTTCCTTTTGTGAAACATTCCCTATAAAATTTGTAATAAAAATCGACAATTTTTCCTTTAATAGATATAAATGGTCAAATAAGTTGTTTTACTTTACGACCATGTTTACTTAGCCTAACCTCTGTAACATATGGATACTAAGACCCTGTTCTTTTCACCTTATTTTGCTAAATTGAAATTATTTTTATTGAACTGAAATTATTTTTTGTTGAGCTGAAATTATTTTATTGAATAGAAATTATTTTTTCTAATTAAATTTTTTTTTTATATGATTCTCTATTATATTTGTTCTTTAAAGTTATCGATCTTTACTGATTAAAAATTATTTTTACTGAACATAAATTATTTTTACTGAATATTATTATATTAAGGTGAAGAGAACTTGGCCTAATTCTCCCAAATAGCAATCCGAAATAAATATAAAGGTTTTGATTTCAAATAATCTCCAGCTAATTTCAAGTACAAATCTTTTCTGATTTAAGATTTTAAAATATACAGGACTATTATATCTAGGGAAAGAGATCATAGGCTGGAAAGCCTCGAATGTGATAGCAGCTCAGATATGGTTATGGATCATAATTGATCTTAAGTCATTAATAATGGGTAAGATTATCGTATCAATGCAGATGGCTAGGGAAAGAAATCATAGGCTCGAATGTGATAGAAACTCATATATGATTATAAATCACAATTAATTTAAGTCATTTAACCCATTAGGAAAGAAATCAGGCTTGATTTCACATCTTTTCTTCTTTAAAAACCTCATATTATAAAACAGAAAATGGAGAAATCAAGGAAAAATAAGGTAGTGGGAAAAATGAATAAGAATCCATGATAAGTAAAATCAATATAGATCAGCACCTAAATAGATATTTTTTTCCTTAAATTATTTCTCTATATTCATAATTGAATGCCGACTAACTTAGTCAAGGGGGTGAAACCCAAGACCGGGAAGTAAAACCTGTCTACATCATCGCCTTCTGGAACCAAAAAAACATTATAAATTCCCAATTGCTCTCTGCATCTTCCTTTGTAAACTCAGTGGAACAGCAGACCAAAAAGTCACAAATACAGGTCTCTCATCTCTTACTTTTCCCGTTTACTACACATTTTCATCAAAATCTCACAATTTTTTGAAGACATGGAGAAAATTAATGCATTGAATCCCAATGCTCAGCCATGGGAGCCAAAGCTTGAAAAAACAAAGATAGAGGATAGATCCATTTTTTTCACCTTTGCAAGGAAACATCCCCTGTCAACCCATCAGATCACCAATTTCTTTGCAAGGTATGTATACATACATGCCTTCATTTGCTTGACACTACAAATTAGTCTAAATAATATTAGGTAAATATTACACATGTGATCAGCCTACACCGCTTGACGACGTGGCTAGCTGAACACTACAAATTCTTTCACATTAATTAATTGTGGACCACTAGAATTAGAGACACTATGGTCGTTTTATTAATAAAAAAAGGTCATTATTTTAAAATAAAGGTTATTATGTTAAAATAAAAGTCGTTGTGTTATTAAAAAGGTCATATATAAGAGATTAATTTATTTGATGAATTTTTTAATATACTGCAATGACTCAATGTGAATAATAAAGGTCATTATATTAAAATTAGGATCACTACATTCAACATAACATTGTACTTCAGATTCACAATAATATTAAAGGTCACATGAGTTTTGATAAAGGTTACTATGTTAAAATTAGGGTCATTATCCTCAAAGTACAATTAGTTGCACGTCGTCAACCGTCGGAGCTGGAACTTCAGCAAGCATTTTATCAAGGTAAGTATCTTGCTGAGGTTGCAAAGAAGCTCAAAAGTTAAACCCCCTGTTGGTGCAACGTGTGTATGGATCTCAAGTCCACAATAATTAGGGTCATTATTGTGAACCAGATCCACACAATTTCTTCCTTATATTTTCCCTAGACATCTAGTTACAGAGAATTGCAACTACTTATGAGTTACAAATGGTTAAGATGTTAAGTCAATCCCGTGCAAATACAACTTTTTTTAACAAATGTTACTATGACTTTGTAACTAACTTTCAATTTCATATTTGCCATGTAACCAGAAATTATGGTGACTGCATTGAGAAGATTTATTTGCACAACCCCAACCCTGCGCAACCCCCTTTGTTTGGACAGGTGGTTTTCACTAAGTGCACTATACCGGCAATGATTTTAGGGGGTCAAGAAGAAAAGCATTTTGTAATAGATAACAGGACATTGTTTTGTAAGAAATTCAAGCATTAGGAAGCAAGCAGGCCCAGCAAAACTTATATTGTAAGATTGAGTCATTGATAAGATAAATAATGTATATAGTTTGGTTCAAGTATACAAGTAAGAACTCCTGGATGCTTATTATAAATTTGGCCATATGACTGCCACATTTAGCCAATTTTGAAACTCCATATTAAAGAAAATGGTAAACCACTGTTGTGACCTTACTCTAAACTGAGCATTCTAACTCCTTTAAGCCAGATAGACCAAGCAAATAAGTAACAAAACAATATGAACTGCATTATCATCAAAAAGGAAGATATAAAGAGCACATTTTAGCTTACCACGATAGTATTGTTGAATTCGTCCAGCAGTTTCTGTTATCCAATCAGCTTTAAAACTGTTTTTCACAACGCCATTGTCCCCAATAGTATCCTCTGTGTACAATTTCTACATACGTAAATTTGTAAAATCACAATATCAGCATTAAAATATAGATTTGATTATTTGAGCAATAGCAAAATTCAGGAAATGGCATATAATAGTATGAGAGCAAAGCTGGGAAGTAAAGGATTTGGTCAAATTAGAGAATCTAGAGAGATCAAAGCTTGCAACTTTCAAGTCATAATCTGGCAATTACAAACTCATAATACGGAATAACTTTATGTTATTTGCCTCAATATAGATTAGATAGAAGATCTGCAATTGAAGGGTGTTTGAATCCATATGCTAAGCAATAGGAACCAAATCTTGACAAAGAAAGAGAAGGCGATATAAGTCCATATAACCATTTTTTTGTCCACATTCTCAAGAAAATATACACAGTTGGTTGTCAGGAGCTCAGGAAGTCAGGGTATGCATGCATCACTGCTAGAAATTTTACACGACTCGTTTTAAAGTTAGCATTTCGCATTAACAGCCAACATTTGAATCTAGCTACATGATCAACCCTTGTATCCTTTGTTTTTAGGGTAAAAAACCCTTGTATCTCTTTACACTGAATGTCATCAACTAATGAAATCTCAAAGAAGGTTCACAGCATTATGTCAAAAACTTCAGAATTAGTAACCTTTTCAGCTTCTTCCTAAGCATTTATCACTGGTAATATACTGAAATGACCTACGTACACCTTAATTTAGAGCAATGGTATTCTCCAACAAAGGAATACCATTGATTGAAATTTGACAGAATGCTACAGAAAAGAAGAAAGACACCCTTGGAATAACTGATATCACTCACTAATCTTGCAATAATGTCACTATTAAGTGTTTATAAATCACCATATCACAATATAGCAAGATTTTAACCAAGAAAAAAAAACATGGAATTTGAACAATAAATTAACATAATTGAGTGCATCAAAGTGTTACCACAAATGTAATTGATTGAAATTTAACAGTTCCACTCTCCATTTCCGCAATTTCCCAAAAACAAATTGGAATCAAAGATAAGACATGTTAAAGTAGAATAAAAATGGGAAATTTGTGAAATGAAAATCAAAGCTCCTAACAATAACTAATCAACCAAACAAACCCATAAATATTCATGTAAATCATGGAAATTTCATCTTAATAACCACTTAAAATAGTGAATTGAAGGGGCATTAATGAAGAAAATTGCAAATAAAAACATACCAATTACTAATTACGAAAAGATTTTCATTTTCCGGTGAAAATTCTCCGACGAAGGCTCGAGCCTGGCGTTACTAGGATTTGCCAGATCAGCGGAAATTCGTGCTGTACTTCAGAGGTATTTTGGGTTGAAATCCTTCATTTATTTACGAAAAATCACGTAGTAAACAAACTGAGAGTAACTTAGGCAAACTCGTAGTTAAATGGCGTATTCTATTCACCTAATTTTTACTTATTTGAACGTATCCAAATTTATTAGACCTTATTAAAACTTATTTTAGTTGTAATTTAAACTTGAGTAACCCTTATTAGAACTTATTTTTCCTGAACTGAACTTATCTGAAGTTAACTAAACTTATCTGAACTTATTAGACCTGAAATATGTGAAAATAAGGTGAACAGAACAAACTCTTAGTGGTGAACTTTCTTGAGGGAGCCCCAATTAATCATGTGATAAACAAAAATCGTTTATCTAGTCACATTTCTATTAATAAATCAATAAAATATCTCATTCAACATATCATTTTCGTGAATAATAAATCAACATTTGTGGGATTCGCATTTTTTAAAAGTTGTTGACTTACGGATTATTTATAGAAATGCCACTAAATAAGCATTTTTTTGTTTATCATGAAGATCAAGTTGTATTTTCTCAACTTTTGGTTGAAATTATCCTTCACACCAAGTTTAACATAAACAATTTCTTACTTGAAGTGGCTCATGTGGATAAAAAAATTTATATACACTCGAATGTCAACCGCACCTTCAAGTGCACCAAAGTGTTCCGTATTTTTTTATTCATTTTTAAATCTTAAAATGAAAAGAAAAAAAAAAATTAATGGGTAAAAAACTATCTTTAGGTGCACCTATCTCTTCATACACTTAAGACAACCATGTATGTAAAAGGTGGTGTCATCTCAAGGGTAATCTATATACATCACTATGATGTCTATGAAAAATTGAGAATCAGCCTAGTTATGCTAGTTTGGCTCTTGGAGAATGGGGGAGGAGGATAAGGGAATTCCTGCCCCTAAGAATCGCAATTGGTATGAGTCAGGATCTACTAACTGCACCATGTAGGCATGGACTACTTGGTAATCATTTTTCTAAAATACAATATACTATTTACTAATATAATAAGTAAATATACATAGTTACAAAATCATAATACGTAGCCTTAATAGTTAATATACAAAATTATTGAGATACTCCTTAGATTTGTGTGAAATTAATATACAACATTAATATACCCCTTAGACATACCAAGTATTTGGTTGAATATATGTTGCACCTTTGGGACCTTAGATCCTCTTGCTTTACTAATTCAACTAACATCAAACAAATGTATTCTTGTTCTGCACCAAAAAAAAAAGAAAAAAAAAAGAAGAAGAAACGTATTTGTTCTTGTTATTGTTATGTAGATGTGATAATCGGGTCGTTCGGATTAGATTAATTAGATTTGTGTCATGATTTAGTGAAAAATCATTTTTTTTTATTATTAAAAAAGAGAGGTCATATTTAGTTAATTAGTTACAATGCTAATTTGTTAATTATGAAACACATAATTATAGCAATTCAGTTCAATTCAGCTCAAGTCAAATTCAGGTCAGGTAATTTCAACAGACATTTTAAATTTTTAGTCAGGCGATTCAAATCGGATATTTGGATACAGATTGGACTTTCTATATCTAGCCTTATGCTCACACAAACGTCTTTACTCTATTTGTGAATTGTGACCATCCACGATATAAAATTAATTCTTGAGAAAATTGTATTTGTATACTTTGGTTTAAATGCCATAATAAACACAATATGACTATATGAGAGATGGCAAATTCTTGGCTACATTGAGAGACGTTATTATAGGCCCAAATAAAACTATTTTCAGCCTCTTCAATGTGCCCAAAAAAGCCTACCTACTCAAAGACCAACAATTTGATCAGTGTTAATCCCTAAATCAATCAAAATCCTACTTACTTGTATTAGTTTGGAACATTAAATCATTAATTATCAGATAACTAAAAATTCGAATAATTGGAATGAATATTCCTTCCAAATAAGGACATTATAGTGCCACTTCATACATTAAAATTCGTCAAAAAAAAATTGTTTCTTTCTCTATTTTACTAGTTTTGTGGCACCTTTGTTCTTCTACTTCCTACAACTCAATTTCAAATAGATTATGCATGCAAAAGAAGAAAACCCACTTCAAAAACATAGATAAACTTTTATTAATTTGAAAGATTCTAGCTTTTTAGGCTTAGCTTATATTATTAGAGAAGATAGAGATGTTAATGAAGTGGGTTTATGCTAATCTTGTTGTTTTGCTACTAATTGTGGGTGTAATCATCTTAAATGTTTCAGAAATTTGTGAAGGGGGTATAACAAGTAGCTTCTCAAGAAAAAGTAATGATCTTTCACTTGATATGCCCTTAGATAGCGATGTTTTCCAAGTTCCTCCTGCTTATAATGCTCCACAACAGGTAATTTCTTATCATTAATTTTTATATATATGATTAATTTCCTAATCTTATTGTATAATAGTTTACTATTAATTCTGGGTTTTATAGTATGTAATATTCTAAATTAGCATAAATGATGTCTGATTAGTGATTACCAGTATACTAAGTTGTTAGAGTCATTGGTAGATAGTGCTCAGCTCTACTGTGTTTAATAATTATGCATGATGATTTATTTGTGTATTTTGTGGATTTATTTGTGTATTTATTTGGGTATGTTTTGGTTAATACAAGTATCATTGTTCAAGTCATTGCAAATGAAAAAGTAGCCCGTTATTCTGTGGCATCTTTGTAATAAATCTAATTCCTCTATTCTTAGGAAATACTCTTAGGCCGCATATTTTATTTAGGTCGTTCCAAAATAATAGGTCACTTTTTATATACTAGAGAGTAGAGACCGGACAAAGTTTTCAAATTTCAACCACTTAAATAGTAAATGGGAATGGAGGTGGTAGTAAATGACTAAAGGAACATTATTTATTGGCTTTAATGAAAAATGTATGTACAAGTACAGTAACATTTATCCATACATAGAGAAATCGAAAATACTGTTGGTTGAATCTTTAGACCTCCTATTATGTTGATGATCTGAAGTGAGGTCAGATCATGCTTGTTTTTTCTTATATTGTGAGTATGGTTCATGAAGGTTCATATAACACAAGGAGACCACATTGGTAGAGCTGTGATCGTCTCTTGGACAACTCCCGATGAGCCTGGATCAAACACAGTAACTTACTGGGCTGAAAACAGCACAGAAAAGAAACTTGCAGAAGGCATTGTTCTTGCTTACAAGTATGTCAATTACACTTCAGGCTACATTCACCATTGCACTGTAGCGGGGCTAGAGGTATACACCCGAGCATGATTCTCTTAGCTCGGTTATCAAGCATTTCTTAAGTGCATTTGGGCATGGAATTTTTCTTACCATGAGATTGAGCATGTATTCCCTTTAAATGCCAAATTTATAGCTTAACTTAAGCATGCTTGCTGCAGTTTGATACAAAATATTACTATGAGGTTGGATCTGGCAATTCATCGAGGCAATTTTGGTTCCTTATGCCCCCAGAACCTGGTCCTGATGTCCCTTATACTTTCGGTCTTATAGGTATGGCTTCATTTACAAGGTTTCCAATTATGCTACTCACAAGAGTCACAACTGCTTCATTCAGATTACATACTAAGTACGGAGTAATAATCAGCAAATGCTATAAACTTCATTGTTGTCTTTTTTTTTTTCTTTTCTTTTCTTTGCTTAGCATTCAATGTTAAGAAGGCTAGAGTATGATAACTGTATACGTTATTTGTTTGTGGTGAATTCACAACAAGCAGGGGACCTTGGTCAGACACATGATTCAAACAGGACAGTTACACATTACGAGTTAAACCCAACGAAAGGCAAGACACTCCTGTTTGTTGGAGACCTATCATATGCAGACAACTACCCATACAATGACAATGCAAGGTGGGATACCTGGGGAAGGTTTATTGAAAGAAATGCTGCTTATCAACCATGGATCTGGACTGCCGGAAACCATGAAATAGATTTTCTACCAAAAGTGGTACATTTCTTCAATATTTTGCTGCTACTTCAAACAGATATCAATCTTTGCTTGCCTTTCTTAGAGTCATGGGTCACAAGTGGACATTTTCAAATTTCAATGGACATTTTATACTGCTATTAACAGCTTCCTGTGTATATTACTCCGTATTTGCTTTCGTTTAATAATAGCTAAGCAAACAAAAGATTTACATATTATTCTTCAAAATTGAACATATACTTTCTTTGTCTTTTTCTATCCACCTTTTATTACTCTATCTTAAACTCATGAATTTTGGGTTGTTGACACTTGACTGCCCTTTTAGGATATAATGCAAGTTGAAATCAACTATATATACCCTACAAGTCTAATCCTTCTGGCTCAATTCATCAGTAAAATGGTGCAACTTATCTCAATTTAAGGGCTGAGTTTTGTTGCTTCTTGCAGGGTGAAACTATACCTTTTAAGCCATATACATATCGATTTCCAACACCGTATCAAGCATCACACAGTACTGCTCCTTATTGGTACTCTATTAAAAGAGCTTCAGCCTATATCATAATCATGGCATCCTACTCAGCTTTTGGTAGGTTATTTCATTATTTTTGTAGTATCATAGATCCAAGTATCCTTAAATTTAGTTTAGTTTGGCAAGGTTTAATCATACGGTATTTAATTTCGCAAAAAGAACATGTAAATATTATAGTATGATGTTTGCTTTGTGAACTTCTTCATATACATTGTACATACGCAGGGAAATACACACCTCAATACAAATGGCTAATGGATGAACTGCCTAAGGTTAATAGGACTGAAACCCCTTGGCTCATTGTTGTAATGCATTGCCCAATGTATAGTAGTTACGTGCATCACTACATGGAGGGAGAAACCATGAGAGTTCTATATGAACCATATTTTGTCAAATACAAGGTCGACGTCATCTTTGCTGGTCATGTACATGCCTATGAGAGATCAGTAAGTATCATAAATCTATGATCTACTATCTTTCTCTTTGTCACACAACCAACACACCAGCCATGCACCCTTAACACTTTGCTTGCGTTTGTTAATGCAGGAACGTATATCCAACATAGCATACAATATCAGTAATGGTGTATGTGGTCCTGTCAGTGATCAGTCTGCTCCAGTTTACATAACTATTGGAGATGGAGGGAATCTCGAAGGATTGGTTTATGAGTATGTTTCTACTACACTCTTTTCAATTGATAACATACGACTATTAAATGTATTTTCACTTCAACCCTTGAAGAGACTGTATAAGAATAAGTTTCATAAGATTGCTGTTTAACTCTAATGCAGGATGACCCAACCACAGCCAGAGTACTCTGCTTATCGCGAGGCCAGCTTTGGTCATGGCATTTTCGACATTAAGAACAGAACACACGCGTATTTTGGTTGGCACCGTAATCAAGATGGATATGCTGTGGAAGCAGATTCTTTATGGCTTCACAATAGATATTGGCATCCTATACAAGAAGAAGCTTCGGTCGCTTCAATGTAAAAAGAGTAATTCTATGTGTTGCAGCTCAGTTTGGTCATTGGTGCATGTCAACATTTTTGCTATTCCAGGCCTTTCGTTAAAAATGTTTATGTCAAAAATGTTGTCACTTGTACAAGAAAATAGTACTGTAATATTTTAGGATGGAATGTTAGCTCCCCTACACGTATTTTGTACAATGATGGGATTAATGTAAGTGCTTATTCAAATAACTAAATTTGTGAAGTAAAAGAAAGTAAAATTGTTCGGCTGATATACCCCTGAAACACATTTATAGTCTACCAAAACTGAAATTACATAAAAATAACAACGGGCTTAGAATATTACGGTGTACTTTCTATATCGAACCAAACGACTATTCTCAAGCATTTAATACTCCGTACAGAGTAATTATTTTATGTTCGAAAACTAAAATATCAGTCTAGCTCTACGCTTACGTACTCTCTCATCGCCGTACATAGTTCATACACCTTAAAAGGGCACGTAGCTAACAATCCTCTTTAAAAAAACATACTCCGTATTATTAAGGACTTTAGGTTCACAAAGAGTGGGTCCTAAATCCAAATCCAAATCCTAATCCTAATCCTAATCGAGATAATATTTTCGGCGGAACGAAGTATGAACAGATTCCAGTAGATATTTATAACCGCTATTCTTTACTTAAATTTGCTAAATGATTATAATAAGTAATCTTCTGCCAAACACTGTCATCATCTCATGGGTCATATGAATGTAATCTCCGTCTCAAGACTCTCAACTATACGGTGTACAATAGTAGTTTATTACTTTATTTGGACATAATTTTTTTTTTTTTTTGAGTGGTACGGAGAATTGTCTTACTGTATTAGAATTTCACACAAGTTTATATACGAGTATATTAAAAGTGAAAGGAAAGTTTAAAAAATTGTACCTTAAAGCGTCTCAAATAAGGATTAAACCCTATTTAATTAATTATCTATTTGTAAGACATACTTTGTCTAGTTCTTTTAATGTTCTTGTTTTGATTGTGCACTTTTGTTTTTGCATAACTTTGAATATTTATACCTACGAGGCTATGATTACGTATTTATAAAAATAATAAAACTCATTGATACGAATCAAAAAAGACTACATTTTTTTGTTGTATATTTGAAATAATTTAGAGATTTCATTAAATTGTAACTAGTTGCAAGATTCCAAACAATGATATGAAATTTTTTACAAAAATGAATTGGTGGATATTTTAAAAAGATATTCCCTTGCTTCTAGTGATCTAGTCTGATAGTTTTATCTACACTCCATGTATTTCATAATTTCAATAACATAGAATCTAATATTCTCTCAATAAAATTAAGATAATTCATACTCATGTGTGATGTTGTTTAATTCATCTTAATGTCTAATTTTATAATATCAACTTCTTTTATAATCTTTATTTGAAGATATTTATACAGAAATGTTGCATCACAAAGACACAAACTATGCAAAAAGTTAAACATAACAATCATTTGAAAGCAACAAGAGTACATTAATTAGTACATCAAAAGTACATTTATAGTTTAATATTCGTTTTTTTAACTTGACTGTATTTTATTTTTTTATAGGCAATGCTATATGTACATGACAAAATCACTCGCAAATCAGTGTAATTAATGAATATATTTCATTAAAACTTTCATTTTTTATCTTCTTATACATAGCCCTGACCCCTAAGGCTATATATAGCATTTTTTTTATTAATGTTAAAACAATTGTTATTATGTACTTATATTGTTGTAGTTATCTCAATATTCAATATACAATATATCGATTTTTAATAGATAGTGAATAATAAAAAATATTATTGATCAAAGTTTTGCATTATATGAATAAAAAAGTCAAAATGAGAAAAATGAAGAAAGTATATGTGTAGTTTAAGGAAACTGAAAAGGTATTAATTATATTATGAGTATTTTTTTTTTAGTTTTTTCAAGGTGTGATTTTCAAGCATCTAGAATAATGGAGGGGAACCTACTATTCTAGTAGGAAACACTTGGGAGTTGGGAGATTGCAAAGAGACGCCGACTTAAACGAGTATGAGAATGACTTCCACAAAATTTGTAGTACAGAAAAAAACTCTGCAACACTTTTATATATTATTACCCTATAAAATTTGTACACAGGTTCACTTTTTAAAGAAACCCCAAATGATTGGGGAGAGAATTACCACCATTCCTACTTCTTTCCCTTACAATCTTAAAACTTCCTAAATATAGTAAGTACTCACTACTACTATTTCATATTTCAATACTAAAAAAAAGAAAGAATTAAAACAACTAAGGTACTTTTAATAGTCCTATATATACATATTTGTTACTCCATCCTTGTCACATCCCAAGTTTTTCTTCCTCTTAAACCCTTATTCACTTACATATTCATCTACTTCTACATATACTATATAGTCTCATATACTATATAGTCTATATTAGACTTCATGGTGGCTATTCTATCCCATCCCATGCCTTCAAATATGTGGCTGGTTTTTTGTTTAAGAAGACCATAGAAACTGGAAGCTGTCATCATATAAGTTGCCGGACAATAACCCCGGTTCGTCGGAGATTGAAAATTCAGGCTGTGGATCGATGACAGGCGGAGGAAATCCGAGGGTCATAGCAGTCTCAGCCCACAAGGAATCGTCGAGCTCTGGTAAACTTGGGTTGGAATTCTCCCAGAGACCATGGTTAATCCCAACTTCATTCTCACCAAAGCTCTCAACACTTGTGGTAGTGCTATCAGTGATTGTGGAAGTAGAATTAGTCTCCTCAATTGGAAAACTAAGGTCACTTGCACCAGAAAGCGAGCTGTTTTCAGACGAGCAACACAGGTTGTACCCGTTCTGATAACAAGGAATCCGGACCTGGCCACGAGCCTGAACCTGAGCCTGAACATGGTTTTGGGCCAAGTTGGGAAGCTGGGGTGGGTAGACCTCAGGCAAATTCAGCTTGGCATCAGTGCCATAAAGCTTACGAGCAGCAGCATCATAAGCTAAGGCAGCTTCATGAGAGGTGTTAAAGGTGCCAAGCCAAAGGCGAGCACCGCGATTAGGCTCACGAATCTCGGCCACCCATTTGCCCCAGGTTCGCTGTCGGACACCCTTGTAGGTACAAAGGGCATTCTCAGGTCCCCCTTTGCCCCTCATACAACCCTTCCTAGAGCTAGCCTGGCAAACCTGATGTTTCTTCCCCTGTTTCTTCTCCCCTAAGCCCAACTTGGACTTCAACATTGTAGGAGAAACTAGTACAGAGATCAGGCAATTAACTTACAACAATGAATTAAGTGAGAGAGAGAAAGAAAGTGAGAAAAATGTGAGTTCGTGTGTATAATTAAGCTATTGATGAGCTAAGCTGCACTCCTGGACACTATTGGGGCGGGTAACTCCTGTTATTTATATGTTGCAATAAGGAGAGGAATACGTATTAAAATAGGTAGGAAAATTGAACCTTTTTCCCCCTCCCCACCCCCCCCCCCCCCACCTTAATACGTGTCTACAGTGAAATCTGGATTGATAGCTGTCAGCATAAACCTGTTCATCGTGTCTCTTTAATATCTCCCTGCTCCATACAACATCCACACTTGGCAAACTGAATTTGTACACATTTTTTTTCAATTGACAAAATTAAATGATAAGTACTCAGACTCAGGTACTCGCAGCAAATAAGGATACGTGTTTAAGTGTCTGACTTGACTATTTAGTGACAGTTTTTCATGATTTTGGCCTAAAATAAAGTGTCGAACTTCGACATAAGTAACTAAGATGAAATAAAGAGTCCAAGTAACGTATACAGACTAGATACATTTTTTTTTTTATGGTTGGTAAGGAGAAGGATCTTACCGGGCCGAAACCTCTCACAAGTTCTCCCGGTCTGGATTAGCGAACTAGGTATTTTGAGAGTGGGGGGAAGGGTAGGGAATCTCCATCCCAAAGTGCCTCTAGTGGGGGTTGATCCCACAATCTCAAGGTTGGAAGATGCAAACCTTACTACTAAACCAAGCTTTGCTTAGTATATACAGACTAGATATATGGTTTTCATTGAAAAAAAAAAAAAAAAATCCTAGATTTTATTAAACTTGGCTTTTAGAGAGAAAAGGAGGGGAAAGAGTCAAGGGGTAGTGTGAATCAAAGTTTGGGTTTGGATAGGACCGATTTCCGATTGGGTGGGGTGTCAAAAAAATTCTCTCTCCAAAAATTTATATTTTAAACAAGTGTGTTTAGCAAGCAGGAGGGGGACTGAGGATAAGCACACACCGGGGAAACTCAATCCAAATCTGCAAGGTCTCTCCTCCATTGGGTTGACAGTTTGCAGGAGTATGCATGTCAAGAAAGATTACGTGGGACTGTCGTTAAAAAGTTCTCTACCATCATCTCTGACGTATTAAACTCTTAAATTCAAGATTCATAGAACTTACTGCATAATCATAGCTCTGTACGTCTGATGTTTCTGAGACAGAGTGGGGCCGTTTACTTCGACAGTTGTCAAAGGCACGGGGCAACTGCTGGCACCTAAGACTCCTCGTCATAAGGGGTTCTTTTTTTGGGACACAGTTTACAGGGTTTATTGTTCGAGGAGTTAAAAGGTAGGCGCGGCCAAACCCAAAGGTTACACCAGTATATTTCTCGTATTCTGGGAAACTAATGGTTTTCAGTGCGAATGACAGTTATGTACGTTGCAAGAGATTCTTATAAAAATTAAGATGTAGTGGATGAAATATTGAAGGGTGAAAATGATAGTGGAATTAGGCTTGACATTGTATATGTGTAATGTGTACCCATTAAATGATGTTTCAACTAAAAGTGAAAATGACAGTGGAGTAACTCAAGAAAGAGAGGTACCACGAAACTGTATATATATACCCACAAGATAACCATGTTTCATCCATGTTCACTATATTATGATACTAGAGGGAAACACGAGGAAAAATGAGAAACTATTCATACTAATCTAGGCACTAGTGATGTGTGCGTGTGGATGATTTTAGAAACAGAAGTCTTCCATACCGATAGAGCTGTAGCGCAGAGGTCCGAAAAACTTAGTTTGAACATTTAAGAAACCCAATTATGTGTTGTGAAGGCCATAAGAATCAGCATGATTTATCAACTCTGCTCAGATTCTTCATAACTTATAAGCCTGGTAGAAAGAACCATCAGCATATAAACCTCTATAATAAGTTGATGAACCAATGTTAGATTCAGATAAATGCCTGACAATCATAAGAAAAATGATATTTACCTTAATGTTGTTTTGGTCATCTGCATAATGACCTGACCTTTTGCCGTAATGTCATCTCCTTAAAACCTGTGATATGTAAGGAAAATCCCTAACGCTGAAAGTTAAGAGGGAATTCTTGAGTATCTCGACATTTCCGCAACGCTTTCCTTATTTCTTCTAACATCTCTGTCACATTGATGCCCTTCCTAAAAATGTGCAAAAGACCCATGGTCACAAGGAAATTTTATTTACAGATTAATGCAAAATATGCAGATATAAAATATAGTTGAAAAGTTTTCCACATCACTGCTAACTCAATGTTTTGCATAGAGAAGACTAGTGTCCAAGTCATATACCACAAACACATCCATGATTAATTTTCCATAATTAATTATCTTATAAATGAAGCACTCACATCCAGACCGGATCAAGTCTAACAAGTGAAATTGCTGGTGTAAAACAAAAGGAAGGATAGAGAAGAAACAGAAATCAATAGAAACGGCTTGCATCCTCAATTCCCTTAAAAGATGCAGGGAAATACATATGAGACCAGGACGTCTTAAATCTATTAATGTGTAAAAGCACAAGACACCTTAAGGAAAGAACGCCACCACATTCTTTCATAATATGTAAACATCTTTCAGATAGATCCCAACTTGTTCTAAAATATCAACTAAGTCTTCATTTTTACACTAGTAAAAGAAACACTTGATGCTGTTATAAGAACAAAATCTATCCTTCATAAGACAATGTCCATATAAATTTTCAAATCCAGCTTCAGCCATTGCATAAATGGCCTGGACACGGAACAAATTGTACACAGGACCATGCTTATAACTAGATGCATTAGGATAAATATGTTGTTTACTGAGCTTGAATATGGTGCTCACAGCTTATAAACAATGTCAATAGCTCTTCACAAAATTATACATGAGTATTCTACCTGGATAACCATAACTACTGTTTATGAATAGAATCAATTGTATATTAAGCTCACAGAGTTTTCATGTAACTATGTTAACTACTAGAGTCTCACTAAAATCACATTGATGTGCTAGAAAGTCCTTATACATCATAGTTGTTCTACTAGGCCCTTTGCAGGAATTTTTGAACCAGGCTAGTTTTCCCTTTGCAGGAATTGTTGTTCTATTATGTATTTTCCTTTGCTAAAGTTTTCTCAAACCTTTATGTGTTTTACTCAAATGTTTTAACCACTCCTTTAAAACTTTCTTGAATTTTATTCTTGGTTATCTTTTAAAACTCCCATAATTTTTCTTGGATGCTCTTTCGTTTGCTCACATTACTCACCTTTTTCAAACTCTTTCAAATGATTATCTTGTTATGTCCCTTTCTTTATATCGTACGGTTCCTTATGACGATTCATGTTAGCTGACCCCAAATCATATTGGGACTAAGGCTTTGTTGTTGTTGTTGTTGGGCAAGGATGAAGATATGATTTGTCCCAACACCTGGATTCTGTTGCAAGGTTTTCAAGCTATCAAGAGGAATAATAACAAGCTTAAATACTCTTGTTGGGTAAAAGCTAAAAACTATCAAAGGTTAGGATGCAATTGACACAAGGAAAATGGAAACATAAGACACTTGAAAACCCTTTCTACATGCAGATATTTCTTGCCACTGATAGTCAGCATGAACATATGTGGAGTATAAGCATTAATAATATATGTGGATTAATTGGGTAACCTGGCATTCCCAAGTGATAGTTTTGCAATAATTTATGATATTTATCTGATTACTTCACTTTTTCTTGCTTTTACATTTATACCCTGATAAACTATTGCTAAATTGTGCATCTGTAAAAGTATAATTCCAGCCATTCTACATAAATTCTGGGTATGTCTTTGCACATATTAATTTCTTTCCATAAGGTCAGTTCAAAGCTGAATTAAAGACCTATCTAATTAAGACTTTTACCATCTTATTACTCTTTTCTATAAGAAGTTCCCTTCACATTAAAGCATTGAGCAATTAGTATCTAGTACAATGTAATTCAACTTAATAACTATGTGTAAATAAAGGCCTCTGAATACTGCAAAGTCTATCTTGCACCCGGGTGCAAGATAAATGTTCTCACATGAAGTGAATCTATAATTGACAAGAACTCCTAGCTCAAAATTATAATCTCTTCATTTCATAAAAGTTGCAACATTTTTACTTATACAAACTTTGACCATTTTTTATTACTTCATATATTATCTTCATTTCATAAAAATATCAATAACACCATAAAATATCTTTTTGACTCTTATGAAACAAAAGAAGTACGACACGAGATTGATAGCTTGCAATTTAGTTCCATATATAGTTTTAAAAAGTTCATTGCAAAATAACAGTGAATAAGTGGATCAATTTGACACTTCAAGGTGTTCAAGCTGCCATTCCAGTCTGTTAACAGTGCATCACACAACGGACTAATTCAACACTTGGATATCCATGCCGCATAGTATGCATGCGTGCAAGAAGGAAATTGAATCTCTTCAATTAGCAACAGAGTTAGTGTAACAGATTCCTTTTATTACGCAATATTTTTAGCGGATTGAAATTGCTTTATAACCCAAATTTGACTACTCAACTCGACCACAACACATGGGACCATAAATGCAAAGCATTGTATCTACATGAAAAATATGAGAAACTAAAAAAATGCACATATCTAAAGCTTAATGAGATCACCACTATGTCCTACATGCACATATCTAAAGCTTCGATAACGATAAAAAATGCTGATAACACGGTACGTAAGCCATATGCTAAATTAAATGATTACTTACAAAACACTGACTCCTACAACAGCAAGTGGTCGTGGATAGTCCTCAATCTCCTTATCTCTCTTGTTCACCTCAGAAGCTGACGGAATTGTATTGTCGGCTTTAGTATGAGCTGTATCTTCAGAGCTTGCACCTAACACCAAGGGACTGGATCCACTGTCCTGACCAATTTTAAGAATTTCTTCAGTCAGGGTTGGAAGCCTATCCTTTGCCTGGAACAAATAAGAACGAAATGAATTAGCAATTAAAGTAATAATAATGAAATAACAAAAACAATCTTAGTCAAGAACTAAGATTTTTGTACAAGAAATAAAACTAACAACAATCTAGCATGGATCCTTCTATTGGCAGTATAGGGAGCCAAGGGAGATCTAAATGTATCTTGAAGCAGTCATAAATCTAACCAAGTAGGGAGTTTTGTTCAAGCACATTCAGAGGAAAAATATTTTCAAGAATAGGAAGGTTAAAAAGGCAATGAAGGCCAAGTCTATAAAGATTAAAAAAGGTAATTACACAGAAAATTTTAATCAAATATATACACCTTCCGTTTCATATAGATTATCTATTTGGAATCTTAGGAGATTCCAAAGCAAATGGAATCTAATATTTTAAGGATAAATATACACTTCATGGGATCCTGTTAGATTCATCTAGGTTTTGTGGTTTCCAAATATATTTCTTTTATACGTATTTTTTGTTATACGTAGGATGAGATATTTTAATTACAATATTACATTGAAAACTGTGCAAAAAGCAAATAGGACAAACAAAAAGAAACGGACGGAGTAGATGATTTCATTCAACCAAAGTAAAATTTAATAATACATCCTCCATTCAAGATATATTGCAACGTGGAGAGGAGGCACGAAAATTAAGAAAATGTGGGTAAAAGGTGATGGACCACAAACCTTTACCCTCAAAACCCGAGTGATTAAGGGACTTAGAAATGTTAGTACATGCATATTGGATATTTAAAATGTGAAAGGAGACGTAAACAATGCAATATTTGTGACATTCTTTAAAAAGTAATTGTTGCAATATAAAAATAAAGGAAGTATAACTTAATATAGAGAACAGGCAACATTAAGGATGAATTAAAGAGAAATCACGAATAAAGCGCATCATTGGGATTTCACACAAAACATAAAAATCTACAACCAGAATGAAAGAAGGAACATTTTTTAATAAGGATATATTTTACAAAATTGTACAGATAAAAGTACATTAACTTTCAAAAACAAAAAAACAAAAAAAATACACGAGGACAAGGTGTCATTGCAAAGTAACAGAAGCACAAAGAATAAACTTCCAGGGCAGTTTCACTTTTAGACCTAAACTGAGGCTCTGTTTTGGAAAAAAAAGCACAAGGCAGCCAATTTTCATATCAAATGCTGCATCAATATACGTTCCTGATACTGCTAGATAAAAAATAACCAGTTTGCAAATGCTCTTTAGTTCATATCAATATTATATAATTCACTTAAAATTGTACGTGATAATCAGAACCCAATATAGCAACAAATTTATTGTTAAAGCCACCAAATGTCCATGATGATACTGGCAGGGCATTAGAGCATGGCTTTGCTTATCAACTTATGGCACATATGCAATCACACTTTTAGGTAGTAGCAATATTTTGAGAACACAAACTTGTGAAGCAAATCAGCTATGAAATCTAGGTGTTATTCACAAAAAAAAGTCTGAAGATGCTAGTGTTTGTACTCAATCATAAACTCATAACATCATCCAATAATAGATTATCAGAAAGCAAGAAAAAAAAAAAGAAGCATAAATATGGTAAGAAAATGCTACAAGACCAACAGCACAGAAAATGACAATACCTGAGAAAGGTCGATTTTATTTAATACCACAATAAATGGTCGTTCAAGGTAATCAGGATTATACATCCGCAATTCCTGCACGCAGATAGGTAAATTAGTTTTGGACTAATTTATGTAAATCCTCAGGATTTAAAGCAGACAAATTGCACTTGTTTAACAATCTGTTGCTATACACCAATTTCATTGAAAAATCTTTATGACAAAAATGAATCATGTACTTGAGAAAGATATGAAGCCAATGAAGTATATAATTTATATAGAATAGTTTGTTTCAAAGAACTAAAATAATGTCTTGCAATACAGCAATAAGTAATATGCCAGCCAATCTCATATTTTAAATGATTTGTGGCCCCATACTAGAACCCAGAGTCTCAAACCATATGTTGGCCTCTTCAAGTCCACATTGTAACAAACACAATTAGCTACCGGTTCTAGCCTCTAGGAAAAGACCACATGACAATTATTAGTAACCTTGTCTCGAGGACAGTAGTATTGGAAGTAAGGTTTCATCAAGATGATTTATTGAACATAGGAGCTGCTATGCATGGCATTGTTCAATTAGCTGCTGTATGAGGAAATCAATGCATACTTCTTTGACTGTTTTGTAGTCTTTCACAGGGTCCTCTGCAGCAGCATCAACGACATGGACCAGCAACCGAGTCCTCCTCAAATGCCTAAGGAAATTACGACCCAAACCCTGCAGAATGTGTGTTACAGAATCAGTAACTTGTGCCATATTAAGTGGTAATTGAAAATGCATCATTTCAAGTACCTTGCCCAAATGAGCACCTTCAATAAGACCTGGCAAATCTGCCAACGTTGCTTCAGAGGAATACATAGCTGCCCCTAAAGAAGGGTCACCATCAAGGCGACCAAGGTTTGGCATCAGAGTCGTAAAGGGATAATCAGCTATGTCCGGTTTCGCAAGTGTAGTAGCTGATAAAAGGGTAGATTTTCCAGCATTTGGGAGTCCCTAGGAAATATCAAATTCAACTATCAGATCCTTGACAGGAGTGAGGGGGAAGGCTGTAAAGTAATGCTGTCTCTCCTTGCCCCAAACAGTCTCCTAGGTTGCCTTTTCACAAGGACCAAAGCAAGCCAGAGACAAGAAACTAAATACACGATGCAGGTAGAGACAACAGGTAGCATAGATAATATATAAAAAAGAATAAGCAGCAAAAGGATTATGAATTTCAAAATAACCAGTAGAGAATATACCACAAGACCAACATCAGCAACTACTCTGAGTATCAATTCCAAACTGACTTCCTCCCCAGCTTGACCAAGGACTAGAACCTGCAATTCACCAGCAAGAATTTAATGCCCAAATGTGAATAAGTCCTCATGATCAAAAACAGCATAATATGATAGAAAAAAGATGCTTTATGGAGGCCCAGAAAACATAAAATTGCTAAGTAATGAAGAAAAATTTGACTACATATCTCTACAAGTTGTAGGAAATGATAATTACTCCCTCTCTTCCTCAAAGATCTTCCTTCTTACTCTTGCTCCACATACCAAGAAGACTTAGCACATTCAATAGGACTGTCTAATTGTCTATACAGAGTATACACAAGGGATATCCGAATAAGGTGCTCACAGGTCTTCTTTAGCTCAGTAATTTTCCCACAAGTCCTCAGGTCACTGTTATTGTTGCCAAACTTTGCTCTCTGCTCAACACTGGCATCTTCTTCACAAGCCCGGAATTTTGACTTGTCAAATCCTCGAGCTTGCAGGGGCTGTTGAGCTGTTAGTGCGTATTAGTTAGCTCATAGCTCACTAAACCAAGTTTCTAATTAGGACCCTTGCCACATCAGCGTAGTTTAAATATCAGAAGGTTGTCAGAAATCTGATTCTCTTTCTTTCCTTACTTTGCGACAACAGTGTACATTACAAGTGAACAATTATACTGAACATTCTGAATTATTGTTCTTTCAGTTGATTCCTAATTTCACTTCTCTCTCCATTTCTTTGATTATCTACCGTTTATTGACAATGTTGTGATAACGATTGTAGCTGCAATCATTTTTCTAACAGACATGTAGTTGGATGATTATTTAGGTATGTGAAAAACACGTCATTTTCCCTAAGCAATTATAGTTTATAACACACTAAGGGTATCTAATATAATTGTAATAGAATTCACTGAGATCTTTCTATCCTTAATTAACTATGAGATTATGGATAAGCACTTATAATTTAAAAGTCACTAAGAATACATTTCAACTCCCAACACCTTATTAAGTATAAACTTTTCCCTAAGGAAGAAAAATTTACTTGCTTTTAAGAGCTCAAAATCTTAATTAACAACCTGAACATACCAGAAGTTACTGATAAGTTAAAAAGTATAGAAAACTTCAACAAATTAGAACCAACAGAACCTAAAGTTGATGCAATTGTAACAGAAGATGTAGGACAAGTATACACAATGATCATCTAGTTTATATCTTTCAGATACAGTTTCAAAATAACCTGAATACTTGCCCAAAACAAATCAGTTAATACAAACTTCAACATCTTGGCTCTAGCTTATGCATGTTGCAAACTTTTAAAATGTGTGTATTGCAAATAAAAAATGTATAGTAACCCCTTATTACATAAATCAAAAGGCTTGAGTACACAATGCATACTATATATTGGAAAATATTGAAGACTAACCTTATCACTGTCATCTCTCAATATGTTTGTTGTCAAAGCCGCCATCATACTTTTCTTTTGCTCTGGCATTTCTAGTAGGCTTATCTGCCAAGACAAAAAGACAGTACCAAATTCATGGTGAGAATCCTGATGCCAATAGATACCATCAAAATCCCCCCACCCCTGTATCTTTCCTAGGGGAAAAGACACACACAAAAATGAACAAAAAAGTAAAAGGAAAAAAAAAAAAAAAATAGGAAGAACAATAATACTTGCCTAAAATCTCTAGGGCTATCTTACTCTAACTTGGAATTTGGGCTGCCACAACTATGTCAACACAACATGACAACAATATGCATACAGAATCCGTGATTGAGACTCGACATGAGAAGATAATGAAGAAAGGCTTAACTGTGATCTATTTACATGGAGCAGAGTTACTATTCAGGCAACACAGAGGTTATTTCTTCGCCCCCTCTCTTGTCAACAGCTAAAAATTATAGACTACAGTCTTTGGTTACTTGGTTAGTGTGGTTTTATGTGTGTGGATTTAGAAGACTTCATAAAAATGAGTTAATCTTTAACCAAGTTTTTATTATTTGTCTTTGGGGTTTTATTTACTAGCAGAAATAATTTTTTATTTAGAACATTATTATTAGAAAAACAAAAAAACTGTACTACAATATTCAGATTGTACTACAGAAAGTCAAAATTTACCCCATATTTGACACCCATACCTGAATCTAGCAACATGGTTATAGGGGAAATTTTCATTCATTATAGATAAAAACAGTAGCCTCAGTTCAAAACTTCAAATACATAACAGAGAACAGCAAAGTTCTACTTCAAACTTCTGATTCAAGTAATGATCTACAAAAATTCAACCAATAATTCAAGAAAATTGTGCCTTACCCCTCCTTGTCCGCCCCTTGCCACAAGAACCTCGTCACCATGATTTGCAAGATCTGCTAAAAGTTTACCTCGCTTCCGTTTTACAACAGTTCCTGTCATAAAGGAGAGAGGGGGGGGGGGGGGCGCCATTTAAATCATTAGTATTCCACGTAATTTGGATCCTACAGGTGTATATTTCATACTAAAGTATTAATTCTCTCCTATGTAGACAACCTTTGAGCTCTAAATGATTCAACTAAATGAGTTTAGCAGTTTATATTGCCTTCAACCTCGACACATGAATTAAATATGATTATAATAATATGAATAAGCAAACACAGAGATGTATCACAACATATTTGGATTTTTTTTTAAAAAAAAAAAGCATTAAAGTTTTTACACAAACCTAATGGGACAGGTATTCGCAATGTCGGAGCAGCAGATCCATCTCGTTGTTTGGAATTCAAAACGCCCATAGCATCAACATTTCCACCACGCTTTGCTTTAAAATGGTTTTGCTTGTGGAATTCTAACAATGTATCTTTACTCTCATCAGCATATATCACAACATCACCACCGTGTCCACCAAGGGGAAGTATAAGAGATCCATCACTATCCCTTTTGTATGAAATCTTTTTTCTTTTTTCCACCTTGTCATTTTTATTCTCAAATTTGGAAGAAGCCTTTTGATTCGGCATTTTAAAGATTGCCCCATGCCCCCCATCACCAGCACGAACACTAATGATTACATGATCAAAATATTTATGTGGCTCCTTCATGAAAGCATCCGATGCTAACGAAGAATACTCTTTGACCTTGACAGCAGCACACAAAACCGTGCAAAATCTATCCTTTTTACATTTGCTTCTTTGATGATCAAACCTACCAAAAAGACATACTGAGCATCAGAAAGAAAGCTGTGAACATAGTTTGAATATTGTAAAAAGGGCCTAACAAAAACAGACACAAAACTCTTTTGTGGAATGTAAAGAGTTTGCAGATAAAGAGCTATCAATGTCCATGTGATTCAACATCAAAGTCAGATAGTTTTCTATTGAAGAAAATGCCAACAATTAATATTCGAAAACTACATCCTAAGAGAATTCTCTTGCATTACCAAAAATAATATTATAAATGAAAATGAGTTGATTAAACAACAAAGATATCCATCCAATCAAACCCATACATATCTATATCTATATTAATATATCTATGTCTATAGTCTCTACACTAATATTTTATAACAAGATGTTTGCATGCCATGTGTCCCAATCCTGCTTCACTTCCCTTTATTTTCCTTCAAAACAAAGAGGGGAGGGGAGGAGTATAGTAAAACCCTCCACTGCTCATCATCTTTCCTTAAACTGCTTAACGTCTTTTTAAGTACCCTTTATCACTTCCCCTTCCTTTTCCAAAAAATAGATGATTAGGTTAAATGAATCTGATTTACAACCAAGAGGCACACATGCATTTCTCCTGCAAACTTTCCAATTTGAAATAAATTATACTTGCCTACTTGGTATAAAGAAAAACAAATTATTGGCCCATCACTTATGGACAACATCCTCATTCCTATATTCTTACATTCTAATTTACTTTCCCTCCTCTCCTCCTTATGACACCTCGCTTGCTCTTTCATATACTTCACTTTACATTAGCTCCATTTTCATCCTCTTCCTCTTCCTCCTCCCCTTCCTTTCCAACATCCACAAGGATCTTCTTTTGATACTCTTTCACTCTCTCTTCTACTTTTAATATATTCATTTACATACTCTCTCTCTTAAATAAATATCAATCTATTTTGGCTAATTAAATGTGTGTTAAATTATCAAACCACATTTAGTTGATATAAAAGCAATGCTTTCCTACATAATAAAGTTTTCCCTCCATTCTTTTATAATCGAAATGTTTTTATTTTTTAGAATTAAAGAACCAAGGAAGCATACAATAATGAAGATTTAAACTTGCTAAGGACGAAGCTCAAATTCTGGATACTCTCTCCATTCCTAAATGTTGTTCTTACTTCAACTTTCTTTTTGTGATACATCCACTTAGGAACAACATTAGATGAAGGGAGTATACTTTATACAGCAAATAGCTACACATTCTGCAATTACATTTGCAGCAATATACTTCGTACCTGATAATTTCATAAATAATCCTCTCCTCACATTTGATTCTAAATCAAAATATGTCTTTCACATTGATGAATGAACAGATTAGGTCACCAACTCATGAACATTTACCAACCAAATTAAATACAAAGCGCCGCAAAAGATGATAAATGTAACAAAATTCACAATTAACATCATCTAATCTTCTAAAACAGAACTAATTTGCATGAAATTACAAGAGGTCAAGAGTAGAAACAACATGAAATGAATTGTTCGTTTCAATTTTTATTCCAATCGACAAAATCACAAAACAAACCCTAAATTAAAGAAAGAGAGAATGTGTGTTACCTGGGAAAAGGAAGGTGGAGGTCAGAGAAGAAAGAGGAAGAAGAAGATGAAGACGGAGATTCGCCGGAAAAGTGAGAAATCCGGCGGAAAGTCGACAATGGTGCCATTGGAGAAGAGACGATAACAAAATTCGCCATTTTTTCCGGTGAACTGTGAAGAATTTAACTGTAGCTTAACGAGCACAGTTGAAGAGAGAGAGTGAAATGAACGGCGAATTCAGGTTTATCTCCCCACCAACAAAACTTTGTTTATCTAGGGGCGTGAGTGTCATTTCGCGTTATTAATGAGGGGCAAACATGGGAATGTATTTATTTCGTTACATCGCCGTTAAGTTTGAAAATAGACGGAACTTAACCTTCTTTAACCAAAGGTAAGAAAGCGTTATGTACTGAAGTTAAACCTTGGTTGATGGAAATTGAAGCAGTGAGGGTGTTGGACGACGCGAACATGGTACGACATCCTTTCTCTTTATCAATGGTATTTGTAATTGTTGAGGGATCCGTCAAGTTAGGGTTATAATTATTGATGAATTCCCCCAATTCGCAAAATGCCATGCTATATAACACGTCCTAATACAAGTTAGAAGGACATACTACGTATATGCAAAAGGTCCTGAAACACCACAAAAAAAGAACAAACTTCCCATAATACGGCAGACTAAGGAAGGAGGCAGTAATGGAGATTAGCCCCTGCCACGGAAGTTGGACAGTGGGTATGCAGACACTTCATCCTTGTTCTTCATCTTAGTCCCTCCAACAGTGTGAATGTCAAGTCACAACCACATTTCTCGTGAATCATAATCAGCTGCTTCTTGTTCTTCTTCGTCACCTCACTCCAAAGTTTGTAAAGGCCATGCAAGTTTGCTCTCAGTTTCCCGCAAACCTTGTGTTGCCTAGGATAAGTCATAACATCCCTCACTAAGAAGACCTTGCATCTAGAGTCCATGTTGTCATTAGGATCCTGCCAGTAATAGTAAAATTCAAATTCGTATTAGAAAATATTTAGACATGAGTAACTATCTAGTAACTTATTAACAAGTCAAGGAACAATTAAAATGATTAGATTGAACTACATTACCTTTCCATGGACATAAAGGACATCGGAGCTAACAATTCGCACTTCCAACGGAGTTGCTGCAAGAGGAATAACAACATCTCCCTTCTTGATAGTAAGAACCGACTCTTCTTTGTAGTCCACCTTGCTTGCGAAGTCACGGTAGATGGCTTGGAATGGTTGATTTTGTCTTATGGTGTAGTTGACTCCTTTGTCCCCCTCCTTGTGGCTTCTCACATTGACAATGTAGACGTACTCATCTAGGATAGCTCCGGGGGCAGACCTTCCATGTGGAGGTCAACTTGCACCTCTTCATAATCACTTATGTCCGGAGGACATTCCAGGTGGAAGATGGGATCTTATTTCTTCTCTCTTTTTGTTTTTGGTGTGTTTAACATAGTTTTATTGCTTTCTACAGTAGATTTTATTGCTTTGAAAAAATACAAAAATACAAAAAAAATTTGAAAAAAAAAAAAATACGATCCAATGAATGATAAATCATGCTTCCCTGTGCCCCCATACATGAAAATTGTTTTGATTCCTGGTATATGATAATGAGTATTGTGGATAGGTTAGCCATGATTTGATGTTTGATTGTTTGGATGCCCTAACATGCGTCAATTTTGCCCAACTACTTGTGAATAAAGTGTCTGACTAGTTGATTTGGTTAGGAAATGTCTGTTAGTTCCTAGTATGTCAATGAAGTTGAGTATTGGTTTGCAACTTTGAGTAATGTTTGTGTGGCTCAATATTATGCACATTGAGGAGAACGAAGGCATTTGTTCTCTTAGGTAGCCTTCAGACAATATTAGATACATTTCTTGACTTTTTATTGTTTATTAACCACATTAAAAGCCGATTTTGCCCCATTGGTTACTAGTCCCAAGCTTGGCTTGGGGAAGCTATTAGTGAGTGAAGTGAGGGAGTTTGTAGTGTGCTTATCATTTGCACAATTTGGGTGGTTTGAGAAGTTGTGTTGTTCTTGATTGTGGTTTATTTTTGATGATTTTGAAAGTTGAATTTTCTTGAAAAAAATAAAGCATGATGATATGAGAAAAAAAAAAAAAAAAAAAAGAAGTTCAAGAAAAAAAAAAAAGAAAAAAGAAAGTGAACTTTAAAAGGAAAAAAAAAAAAAAAAAAAAAAAAAAAAAAAAAAAAAAAGAGCAAAGAGAAAGAAAATAATTGTTTAATGTTCAAATGTTCTAAATGAAGGTTGTTCAAAAGAGTAAAATTGAGTTTCAAGTGAAAGGAAAAAAAATCAAGTGTTAAAGAGTTCAAAGTTTGTTTGCTTCACTCAAGTTCTATAAAATCATATTTGTATGAGTAAAGTTGTAAGTATTAGAAAATTTGTTAATATTGGTTGGGTTGTTTGGTGAAATTTTGTAGAGTTGAGTTGTGTTGGAGATGATTGGTCATTATTTATTTTTGACCTTGGTTTTATTAGGATTGCTCCGTAAATTTATCCTACCTTTTACCCTAGCTTTACGTTACAAGCTTTAAAGACCTTCCGACCTTTGTGCACAGAGTTATATGGATGTGAAAGTAGTTGTTTATCAATGCAAATAATGATTTGACATATTTCGAGTCGACTATTGGGTTGAGTGCATGTTTTCTTAAACACACGAGTGTTGTGAGTTTGGGAAGGCATTGTTCACACTAAAGGGGTTGGATGGAGAGCGATCGAATACATTTTATATCTGCCACATAAAAGAGTGAAGAGTGCATGAGCACTAGTCTTGAATTCCATGTACACTTGTAGTTTGCTCTATTTGACAATTGTTAGGGAGGATGAGTAGTTGGATACATGGATTTGATGGGTTGACTTTGATGGATATTTGTTGGATTTGCTTTGAATTAGTTATGCTTGGTTTTAATTGATTTTTGGGGTGAAGGATGTTTTATTTGTTCATTGATGAGCTCTTTGCTTTGGGACAAGCAAAGGTTTGGCTTGGGGGAGTTTGATATGTTCATTTTTATATAGAGATTTACCCCCGTCCCTTGGTCATATTTAAGAGTATTTTTGGCTCTTTGGAGCCACTTTTATTACTAGTATGCGTTTTCTAGTGTTCTCATAGTCTTGGTATTATTTTATAGGAAATTGCGAATTTGGAGCATTTTCCCGGACTTATTGGAGCCACTATGAGCATCGGAGCAGGAGTGCATTCATATGACCATTTTCCGTAGCCCAAGACCGGTTAGAGTTATCAAACCGGTGATTAAGGGCTCGGCGAAGAAGAAAAGTTCGAGGCATTGGATCGAGTAGTAAAGACCCAAAAAGGAAATCCGGATTGGGCCAAGAAAGTGGCCCAATTGAAGTCCATGTTTGCCCGAGTGCTCGCCCGACCGGGAAGGCCCTCGCCTTGAGGCGCGCCCGGCCGGGCGAGGAAAAAGGAAGAGAACAGCTCCCCGCCCGGAGGCGCGCCCAACCGGGTGCGAGCGGAGGTTCCCCTATCAAAAAGGCGGGCCCGGCCGGGCGCGTGTTTTTTAGTGATGTTTAAGCGTCTTTTACTTCAATTAAGTGATAACTTGCTATTTGATATGATTTTAGGGTGTTTTTGAACCTAGTTTACTTGATAAAATTTGTGTTTTGGTTCATTTTTACTCTATTATTATGCAATTTTTGTGTATCCTATGTTTCACCGGTTGTTAGTGTTTTTGTTGAGATTCTAGGTTCTAAGACGACCAAATGAAGCCCATGGATACAAAACCGAGGTTAGGAGCAAGAAGATGGTTGAATGAAGCCAAGGAAAGGAGCAATATAGAAGAAAAGATGGAAAAAAGGGCTTAGAAGACCCTGCACGGCCGTGCCAGACCTTGCACGTCCGTGCAGGAGGTTCCAGAAAGTTTCATCATTCTGCCAAGGCCTGCACGGTCGTGCTAAATTAGGCACGTCCGTGCAGAAGAGGCTGCACGGCCGTGCCAGACCTTGCACGTCCGTGCAGGAGTGCTCCAGAAACTTAGAACATTCTGCCAAGGCCTGCACGGTCGTGCTTAAGTTGGCACGTCCGTGCAGAAGAGGTTGCACGTCCGTGCCATAACTGGCACGTTCGTGCAAGATTGCAAGCCTAAGCAGTAGCTTCTGCCATGCCCTGCACGGCCGTGCGTAAGGCAGCACGTCCGTGCAGATTGGTCTGCACGTCCGTGCCAAACCTGGCACGTCCGTGCAGACCTGCAGTCAAGCCCGATTCTTGTTTTCTCCGTCCTTTTTATTTGGGGGTCTTATAAATACCCCCTTTGAGCTCATTTGTACGGGATATATGCAGTTTTTTTAGAGCTTTCCTCTTAGTTTGTAGTCTTAGAACATTAAATTCTCAAATCATTAGTTAGTTCTTAATTATTAGCTTGGAAATATTCAAATTCAATCATTGTAGAAGACAAAGTCCACCATTGTTGCTCACTTTGAAGCTTCATAGTAACCATTTCTTACTCATCTTTTCTACTTCTCTTTACTTTGTTGTTGATTACTTGCTTAATTCTTGCATGTTTAGATTGTTAATTAGCTTAATCCTTAGTTTGAACTTGTTCATGAATTGCTTGAAACCTCTAATTGCTTTAACCTCCATGGATTGTGAGTAGTCTGAATTCTAGGGTTTGGGCAAAACCCTCAATGTAGTCACTAATTACTTGTTGCATGTGCTAATTTGGTTGTTGTGGGATGTTAATTAGTTGAGCTTAAGTGGTTTAATTGCTTAGTTCTTGTATATGGCCATTGTTAGAACTATTTATCCAAGCTTTCTCAACGAAGGATCGAGAGATGAACTTGAGTTAGCTCCCTTATGCTTGATTGACCCGAAATGCCATGAGAATAGGGATTACCGGTCAAGGGAATGTTTATGTCATCGTGATTATGCTTTAACACTTGTTTTATGCTATGTAACCACGAGAGTAGGTTGTATTCATGATTCAAGTAATCCCTCTATCTTGAGAGAGTAGTTGGGTGCTTTAGATGACTTCCCCTAATTTATCCCATTAATTTACCTTGATTGTTGCATGCTAATTGTGATTTGTGATGAAATTGAGTGGTATAACCCAAGCCCTAGATTCCTCTTAATATTGTTAATCTCCTCTTAGCTTTAGTTGAATTGAATTAGAAGAAGTTACTCAAAACCAACCCGATTTAGACTTCATTTAGCTTATTTAAACGATAGTACTCGGTGGTTGATTCAACGCCTCTCTTGGGTTCGACCCTTTCTTACCCTTACTATTGTTAGTGAGACCAAGATAGGAATTATTATCTTTGGTAGGCTCGACGACGGCTTATCATTAAGCTTAGGATTTTTCAGCTTAAGTATAAATACGCTTTTCTAAGCGAGATTTTAGGGAAGTCATTCGTTAGTTAAATTCTCAGATTTTAGTTTTAAGCTTTTGGCTAATACTCTTGTTTTCTCTCTCAACACTTTTAATTTATGCAATTCATTATTTCCGTTTATTTTGGTAACGATTTCTTCCCCTTTTATTTTCAGTAATTTAATTGCTTTGATTAATTATGTCTTGTTTATTTGTTTTGCTTAGTTTAGATTTAAATATGTGTGAGTAGTTTTATTTCTAGGGTTGTGGGGATCAATAAATAATATGAAGGGGTAATTTATTATTGTTGATTGTCAATGATTTGGTTGATTTCCTATTGATTGATTTAATGCTATGCAATTAGATTAGACCTGGTTTAATTGTATGAGTTATGCAACATTGATTCGAGATTCGAAAGATGAGAATTGATGTTTAGGCTTAGTTTCAACAGATAGGTTAATTTATAAATGGTTAAGTCAAGATTCGAAAGATGCGATTTAATACCGGTAGATTAATTCTATGATTGTAATACGTAGTGAAAGCCCTTTATGATCTGATTAATTATTGCATTGATAATTGATTGTTGTGTTTTGCCCTGGAATATTATTTATTGGTGAACCTATACCCTAGGCTTTGATTTATTGATTTCTCCCTTATTTAATTTGTTTTAATTTAATTATTTTCCCTTAGTTTAATTTTCGCATAATAATAATTCGGTTACTTAATAGTTTAGATTTTATTAAATAATTAGGAATAGAAAGACTTGTTTCCCTGTGGATTCGACCCTACTTTCCTATCTACTTTAGTTAGAGGATTTAGGTAATTCTTTTGATTAGGAGATACGACTTTATCCTGTCAATAAGAAATTGGACTCATTGGTCATGAAGTCCGAATCAGGTATCATCAGCCCGATACACTTGCCTAATTTGCTTGACCTTATAGGAAAAGTTGATTTGTTATATGTGTTCTTCAAATTACATAATTTTAATTTTGAGTACAGTGGTGTGTCTAAAGTCATCCCTATTATCTTGAAGAATTTAGTTGACCCACTAACTTCAATGGTCCTGTCTACTATCTTAGTCTTAGGAAGCTGAAAATAGAGATTGGGTGTTACACAGATGCACTCCAAATCTTTTACCTGTTTAAACCTATTACAAACTTAGATTTTGCTGCTAATACGGGTAGTTATGAAGGAAGTCCTTGTGATAGGTACACCCAAGTGACCCTTGCTCCAGAGATTAAACCATCCCAACCAAGTTTTAGTCTAGGGTCCACCTTCGTCCTCTGGAATGCTGGGGGGTTACTAGACCCTCTTTTGAGGGCAACTTCAAGGAGCTGGAGAAAGTTCATAACCCAGTATTGGTGATTGTAACTGAGGTCCGTGTTCGAGACAAACATTTCAGAAAGGTACTTAGCTCTTTAGGCAGCAATTTCGAGGGGCGTATTGATGAGAGTGTTGGGTTGAAGGAAGGAATTATCATAATATGGGATAAGACTAGGGCAATGGTTGATGAGCTGCTGATTTTTGAGTCTAGGACATGCCCCCTTCGCATTGTTGGGTCGATTAAGGCAAGTATTCTAGCCCTGTATTTACCACTTCATATATTATTCATGTTTAGGAAATTGATATTAGTTTCATTGTGTATTGCACTGTGCGTTAAATAAATGATGTAAACACTGAGGATTATGCTGCTTCTGTGACAGGTTCCCAATGTTGATGGACGACCGGCGTGAACGAGCTTGGATCTGACTGAGGAGGGATGGCTTCGATGTTGATGCTGAAGTGTGGGATCTGCTGTTATGGAAAACTATTTTATATTACTAATTATGTTGTGTAATGGATTATGGTGCTGTTATTTCTAAGTCCTAGTACAATTAATTTATAGGTGACTGTAATGTTATGGAGAATTTCTAAATGCTTATTAAGATGTCTATGTTTAATTTTCTTGGCAAGGACCCTAAATTGGGTGAAATTGGTTGCTAAAGATTACACTGTTAGATAGTTAGTTAGTTACCCAAGCTTCAACTTGCTTGAAGTAGGTTTACAGGTTAAGAACATGAAGTCATAACTATGATTAGTACCACTTCAATGGAGTATGCCTTTCCAAAATCAGTCACAGTACTACATAGAAACAATTTTCAATACGGTAAGATGTAATGTTAATGAATGTTTTTAACCCACAAAGGGTGTTAAACGAGTGTTAATGCTAAGATGTGAATGTTAGATTAAACAGTAGATTGACAACATATGTGAAAATGGTTGGATAGAGATTGTTATTTAGTTGTAATCAACCTTTGACAAATTAATAATTACGATAGACGTGCATGAAGTTGTTTATGATCTTTTTCCTTTAACTCTTAGTTGAAGATATGGAAGGATTTTCCATTACCTCGATCTGGATGACATAGCACTGACACACCTATTCCCCCTCCCCTCATCAATGTACCAATGACAGTTCCTTCTCATAAAGCAACACCCATTGGAAGTGAGTTTTTGAAGTTCCTTTTGGAAGAAGCTACACTTAAATAATGTAATATAGAATGGGTGACCGCGCTTCCTTCCCATTTCCTTTCACAGCAATTCCACCACTCGACCTACATTTCCACCTTTAACCATGTTGAAAAATAACAAATCAATCCTGTCACAAAATGCACAACTACAAATTAAAACAAAAAAGGGCAAAGGTGTTGTTTTTCATCCAACAAAGCCTGTACTGTACTTCAACCTTGTGCAAGCCACGGAAGAACCAGAGTTAAGACTTAACTCTGTGGAATAATACTACAATGAAGCTGAGTTAACTGATTTCAACAAGATAGGGGTTGAAACACTCCATTCCGAACTGTGCAGCAACCTAGAAGACGGTACAAGATACACTTTTGCTTGGAGAGTGATGAGGATTGGTAATCGTCTAGTGCAACCAGCCTACATGCCTCTTATTACGGATGTTGAGGCGTATTTGCATAAGGGAGTTGCTGTGTTCTTCAAATGGTATTGTGAACTTCATTGTCCATCCACTCCAACGTATATACCGAGAGTGATTCTTCCTGTCTTTGATTTGAAGACATTGATCAACCCAAATGATATCCCAATTTACTCCCTCCCACTACAGAGTAGTAAGATTATATTGGGAGCGAACAAGGCTGGACTCCATTTGATGGAGGTAACAGAAAATCTATATACCATAAGTGTATCGGATGAATCTTACATTACTTGATCAGGTTCCACTAGGTACTTTCAAGCAATTGTTAGAGCAGACAGGGCAGATAAGTTGCCACGTCAAAATCAATTACCTAAGGGTTCGAAGGTTATTCTGTGGAACGGGAGGAATGTCCACCGGCCATCATTCAAACAGAATATTCAGATCATTCGCGAAGCATATAAACCTATGTTAATTGTAATCACAGAGGCAAGAGTGTCAACGCCAATGTTGCACAGAGTCTGAATAGATATGGGAAGTGGTTACAAGGTGGACGAGGTTGGCCCAAACACTGGTTTGGGTGGGGTGCTTTTAGCGTGGGATTTCTGGGTGGAGCCATACTACACCCACAGGCAATCAAGCTTGTACGGGCATATTGTGTCTTTCTTTAATATGGTAAAGTACCTCAAAATACCAATGGTTTTTTTTCGCTTTAACTTTGATAAAAAAAAAATTGTTAACTCTGTTATAAAAATGCAGCCAGGCTACGAAGAAATGAACAGATTGGCAGGAGAGTGCCCGTCTTAGAACATAATGGATGTTAGCGAAGAGAATGGTAGTGACGATGCTGATGAGATAATGGCTAACTGGTTCACCAATACAGGTCTAGACGATGACCCTAGGGTACATGATTGGGACTAAGGCTTAAAGGATGCAGTAGGGAGGACCATTTTCCAGTAGTTATCAAGTATTGAATGTAATGAATGTTATGAACAAGTTTTCATGAGTACCCTTTAGCAGCAAAAGATTTCTACTATGTAGTTGTTTATTTTGTTAACTTAGAATGTGATCACTGTTATCAAACTTGAATGTTTCAAAGCAAAGTAGTTTGTGGTTGTACGGTTTATTGAATGGAGTATGGAATGTCTATCACCCTAAAATGAATTGGTAATGTTGCAACTTACCTAGTACTCAGTATTGTACCATGCTCAAAACACTACATTATAACAATTCCAACATCCCAACGAACAATAAAATAGTTTTGGATCGAGCCTTTAAACATCAGCCTAGCCATAATGCTGCACGTGTAGGTCCTAATCTTTACAGACTAATGCGTCCATGAATACATGCCATCCTCTGTTCAAATGGAGTAAAAAATACTAGTATAAACCATTACATGTAAGCCATGTACTCAGTTACATCACCTCAGTTGTTCCGGCAACGTTAGTACACGTATGATATATCATAATTCAAAAGAATGTTCGGAAGAGCAATCATCGCTATCGGTTCCGCCGTCACTAACTTCCGGAGTGGCAGATCTCGTGCTGGTGCGTTGCAAATTGGCATGTTGTTCCTCGAGTTGTTTTTTTCCTTCTAGTCCGCATACAACGACAAGTTTTAGCATAGTTCAATATTACTAATTTGTAGAATTGTATGTATATGTTATCATAACTTCCCCATAGAACGAAGCCGGATAAAAGGTGTCAAGTATGAACTAAGTTGCATGCTGTAATAATTAAGTCACTGTGAGTTAGGATGGTAAAAACAAAGACAAAGGCATGAAGAACAATTATGCACAAATATATAAATAAAAAGAAAACAAAAACACAAAGTTATCAGGTTGTTTTTGTTTCTTCTTCTTATAACCAGTCTTTGCTTTGGACTTGTTTCTGCTACCCTTAGGTCTCCCCCTTCGCCTCTTCTTTGTAACAGGGTCTAACACAGGTTCAGTATTCTGAGATTTTGGCCGTGGCGTTGGAGCCTATACTGGAGCCTCTACGTGGGACCCTGTTACTGGTACATTGTCATGATCAGTAGATAAGTCAGTAACGTCGTGTTGGGATGAACGAGTTACCTCTTCATTCAATACGGTGGACTGCATTGGATTATCTGGTTTTCTAATAGATGAAGAGGTGGTTCCTTCTCCAGCTTCAGTAGGAAAATTAACAACTTCACGCATTATATGCAGTTGATCTCTTTTCTGCTTTGCTTCATCTACTTCACTCTTCAGCTTGCTAAGGATTTTCATTACAAGGACGGTTTCATCATCCACATTTGCAGCAACTTCGCAAATGGACTCAAAATTACATAAGATTGCATTGAATCTTTTCACTTGGACAATTTTGGACGGGTCATGGTACGGGACTATTACTCGTGTGTGCCTCCTTTGTACATCCTTGCGCCATCGAGTCAGGATGTATTTGTCCAGTATGTCAAACACCAGATTCTGGTCAAGAATCCTAAACATGTGTTTACACATTATTCCACAGCTCTCAAACTTGCGGCAGTCAAAGGACACCTCTTTGCTGATATTGTCAAAGGTGACCTGGTAAAACCTCCTCCGGTCTGTTATGACTTCCTCCCTTTCCCCTGCTGGAATTATCCATACACGGTCCTCAACCAGGTATTGCACAACAGTTTCACTAATCATTTTCTCATCACGGCAGTAGCAATACATCAATCTAGACAATTCAGCTTGAATTTCTTGGAATTTGGTGTCGGTGTAAATCTTCTGAAACAACTTTTCAAGCTTGAACTCGCTCAAGAGCCTACAAACATACTTTGTGCAGTTTGCATGTGCATCTGTTTCATCTTTGACCCGCTTGGTCATGGCTCTAGTATACTGTTTAGGAAATTCATGCAATTTGGTTTTCCTACTAACAAAACCATCGAAGAAGCTATTAATACTCTCCACTCTTTGAGTAGTCTTCATCCACGCCCAAAAAAACTCTTTCATATAAGTGGGGACCCACATCTCTCGTTCTTTGAACATGTACGTCACCCATTCATTATTTTCGAGTTTGTACTTTTCAATGAATGAACACCAATTTCGCTCGAACACTTCCAGGATGAAGCTCTCATAGATCACACTTTTGAGCAAGTTTTTAAATTCTGAATACCTATATATCAAAAATAATAAGAACATATGTCATGCACAACTTTACACAAGGCATAACACATTAACCTTCCATCCAAAGGCACATAATCTGAACAAATATAACCTGGATTCTCAGATGCATCCAAAGACAAAACACCAGTATACTATGGAAAACACACCACCTATGACATGCAAATCCATCAACTTCAACTAATATGCCACACAATCCAAAACATGCATGGCATAACACAAGGGAATCCAGATTTGACAATCCATATCAGAGAGATAATTCTTAAAAATTGAACTAAGATTTAAAATAGCCTTAAAACTTACAATGGGCATTTCCCAAGCTTCTCAGGAAACTTAGAAGTGATATGCCAAATGCACCACATGTGCCGAGTGTCAGGCCTTAGTTCTTCCAAAGGTTTACGCATTGTCGGCGCTTGATCAGTCAGAATACCTATTGGCGCTTTCCCTCCCATACAAGACAGCCACTGCCGAAATATCCACCGAAACGTATCAGAGTCCTCGTGAGAAACTAAAGCACAGCCAAGTAGAATAGACTGCCCATGATGATTTACCCCGACAAAATTCGCAAATGGTAACTCGTAGTCATTAGTCAGGTAAGTTGCATCAAAGCAAACTACATCGCCAAAGTATTCATAGGCAGCCCTACTACGAGCATCCACCCACAAGACGTCCTTTAATCGACCATTTTCATCTAAATGGTTTACATGAAAAAAGTTCTGATTATCAGCCATCATGTACTCAAAGTAGGACATCATGGCTGCCGAGTCACCACCTACCATTTTCAAACGCCTCGCCTTGTAAACCTCATGCTGCATATCCTTCACAGTCATTTGCATGTTGCAACCATCTTTCATCTCAGCAGCAAAACATCAGTGGATATGAGAAACAAGAACCCCCTCTTCATAGAAATCCATCAACCTCTAAGCCATTTTCTTTGTAAATTGCTTCATACGATACTCCTTTACTAAATTAGCTTGGCTTGGGTGCGGTGTATGATTATTATGCTTGAGAATAACAGTTTTCAACTCCCAATCACCATCACCATTAACACTAGCATAGATCCGCCAACTGCACTCACACTTTTTAGACTTCCTCATGCCACGATTCAATTCAGGTTCTGAAATAGCACTACCAACTGAGCCACGGACCTCCATGGCTTTAGCCCTCTTCTTTACCTCCCGCACAACCCTCATGTCCGGTCTCCCCCAACATTCACACCTCCATGTGGACCCCCTACGCTCCCTTTCTTTCTACTCCGTCTTCTTAGAAAATGAACCTTGAATCCTAGTGACACCAAATCCACATTGCTCACCATATTCCTTTAAGTATGATTCTACATCTTGCCATAACTTGAAGACCATTCCAAGCTTTGGAGATTCAACCGTGTGCACTACATTTACCATATTACTAGAAACAACAGTATGGACAGTTTCTGCTGTCCATAATGGGGTCCTGCTACGGCCCTGGATATCAGCATCACCATCAACACATGGAGACTTAGATGATTCCCCATTCTCAACAACAACATGTGCCCTTTCAGGAGACTTTGGAACATCAAAATCAACCCCTCCACCACCATCTCCAACTACATCAGAATCAATCTCTACAACACACTCTTCAACTATATTTTCCCTATCAACATTACCCGCCATTGCTAGACAGGTCAAGCATAACAACTCAGTGTCACTCCACATAAAATAAACACATTATTCCAGATATAACTCATGAACACATAAAATAAACACATTATTCCAGATATAACTCGTGAATAAACCAGAATTAAGGATCTTTTTTCAATAGTTCTTAAATCCAAAACAACAACATTACAAAAATGAAGCACACACTACAAAAATTAGATCAACAACGCTGCCATGGCAACCACATCAGCTGTAATTGAACACACCCCAATTCAATTACAAATCAATTATTCTTACAAACAAAACAACCACTCTTCAAAAAAAAACGAATGTATCTCCCAACACAAGCAAAAGTCTAGGGTTTCAACGAATTAAGCAAATTTCGGGCATACCTTATTTTTCAAAACAATTCGCCAGAAGGGTTGTAGCTCACCAACAGCACCACAATCATCGAATTTAGGGCAACGGAAAGCGGCGACAATTTGTACTAAATACAGAAAATTTTCGACACCTCCATTACTGTACTTCTGAGCTACAATTTTTTTTCCCTCTTTTTTTGCCTTCAATCGAATTGGGGAAATAGCTACTGAGTACTGACCGTGGTCAATTTTATCAAACGACGTTAAATTAGAGTTAGCGAACGTTAACAAACGGTGGTTTTCACCGTTTATGACTTTTCCATCACCTTTTCACTGTATACATTATTTTATTTAACTGATGCATTTCTAAAAGCATTTTATTCACAGAATTGCCATCCGATTTCCTTTGTTTGTTAATCGTTGAGATTAATTGGGGCCTCCTCTGAAATGAATGATTAAAACAATAAAAGGATAAAAAAAAATTTAAAAAAAGACAAAAAAGTACTCGTAATATCTACCAAAACAGTGTCATTTTGACACCAACCTAAACAAGAAAACGAGTTTGGCTTTAATACGAGAGGAATAAGTATTGGCGCATAGGCCCTATATATTTCACTTGCAAACAGGATGACATTTTTGTAAATAATGGAAATCTGAGAAAAATCGGTGGTAGAAAATATGATGACAAAATGTACCACTACATGCATAATAGTACATAATAGTACACAAAAATGTACCACTGTACCATTAAAAGAGAGAAAATGTACCACCGAATCCCCGATTGCCCTCTTATATGCATGCAAAATACATAGGCCCTATGCGCCTATATGCACTTTAATACTAATACGTAATTTACATAGCCAGCACTAACTAGGGTATAATAATTTCGATAGGTTTTGTGTGAGACCGAACTCACTTTCTAAGTTTCTCCCATCACAATTCACAACTTGGATCTTGTATAGTTGGGGTTCTAGACGAAGACTTGGCTTCTATGGAGTTTGTGACGACGATAATCTTTATGGTGGGGATTTGGATGTGAAAAAGAGGAGGATTGAGTTAGGGAGGAGATAACGTGATAAGGAGAGAGGTGTTTTGTGGGTAGGGCAGCGGTAGTGAGGGAGGTGGTGGCAAAGAGGGTTTTTTTTTTTGGGTTTGTGGCTGAAGAAGGTTTTCCTGGGGAATGACAATATTTGGTGTTTATGTGTAGACGGACTCACCGTTAGTCCGTTCTACACAATACTTTTTCTAATAATTTTGGTATGACTTATACGCCATTGACGGTGGTGGAAGGGAGATGGTGGGAGATGGGGTTGAAGACGGTAGTGTAATATCCAAAGCCACTTATACAAAAGGTAGTTAAGTGATAAAATTTCCTATAATTAATTGATCTCACCTTTAATTATTCGTAATTAACCCCATGTTTCGGAAAGTTTTGAGATTATGGTGGCAAGGACACCTTGTGAGTTGTGAGAATAGCACTTATTTGGGTGGATTCAAAAGTAAAATGATGGCTTAGAGGCCTTAGACTATTACTACTTCAAATGAAATAAGAAAATCTGTTTGAATTTTTTGAGGTCCCATTTGCTCCTTATATCCAATTAATATGAACTTTGATTATACTTGTATCTGTAAGTTAAATAATCAAAGATCCCTATAAATTGATGACAAGTAGCTAATTACACAATAATAATAATAGTATACCCTAAAATGATCAATCCCCTGCATTAGCTCTTAGTAGGCATCATCAATCATCAATGCTGTAGGATGATAGCTTTGATATCACTTAACAAGTGAAATTATGCTGTTGTAGTGTTGTTAGACAAATCCTTCCATCAAACTAGCGATTTCTAATGTATTGGTATCGTAAAAAATAAAATCTTGAAATCAAGATAAAGAGGACTTGATTCAACCCAACAATCACACCCTTTTGAATCAATACTGTAAGTGAACTTTAATGAGCTACACTCAACTATCAAGTCTACTGAAGAATTTACAGTCTGTACAATGGAATGAAGGTTTTATATTCAGCCACCGGAAAGTGAATGCCAGGAAGACCAAAATTCAAAGGGCATCTCCTATGAACAAACTAAATTTATTGTGCATATCTTCGAAAAAACCAACCAACATATGCATTGCCTCTGATCTGGATGTGCATGCACCTTGATTGCTCTTTGTGGCCTTGCCTGATTTAGAATAATTATCTTGTTTTCAGCAATCAATGAAATCCTTCAAAGAAAACGGAGGGCCATCCTGAAAACACCACAAGTAAAGCATAGAGTTCATTCAGATTTGACTCATTTGAGTCCAACGATCAACCGTTCCATAAAGCTTTTGTCATGAATAAATCGATAAAATAGTAGAAAATTCCTTTATGAAGAAAGAGGAAAAAAAAAAAGAGTATTAGTGTGTTTGGATTGAAGGAAATGGAAGGAAAGGAAGGGAAGGGAAGGGAAATGAAGGGAGGGAGTATCTTTCATTTGGATAGCAAATTGGGGATGAAGGGAATTGGAGGGGAGAGAAATGGAGGGATTAAATTCTAAGAAAATGATCCCTCCAACAATGGAGAGATTTAGAAGGAAAACTCATCATTTTTCCTTCCTCTTCCTTTCCCTTCCCTCCCCTTCACCTCCCTCCCCTTCTTTTCTTTCCCAAACAAGCTGATAGAGAGGGGCATCACTGCATATACATTCAGAATTCTCTCCCTTTGCCAATTTCAAAGATTGCTTAGGAATTTCTACAACCACAAAGAAAGCAAATTGCACAGGAACTAGAGTATGAATTAGGAAAGAGACTCCGAAATAGTATGGGGTTTCGCAACCTAATTTTGTCAGTTTTCATACCAAACACTAAAATTTTAATCCAGACACTAGTTCTTTTAAACCTCCAAGGACTAAGACAAGCTTTATGAATTTCATCATTACAACGGTACAATCATCATAGTACATCATAAAAAAAGGGGATTTAAAGAGTAGGCTTTAACAGCTTAAAATCATCAATAACTCAAAAGATAAGGTCTCATAGAACTGATAGAAGGGAAAACAGGCAACTCGCACACCAGTGTGCCGATAAGTCTAACTTCTAGAATACAGATCTCATTTTCGGCAGATTTTTGTGCCTTTGATATAAAGTACTACACGTGAAGGACAAAATACTAATGAGCCAAACAAATTGTCTATCAATAACCAGCCCACCAATCAAACTAGGCCCCATAAAAGTATAAGCTTCCCCACTCAGGTGCAAATGAAGTTTCAAAAGCACCAATCCAATTTAAAATACTTTGGTACTACATACAAGGAGAATGATTTCTCACAACTACTATCCTATATCATTCAGCTATCAAAAAACATGGATGAGAAGCAGAAGCCTCTATGCATTCATATTAAGATCACCTTACTAAGTTCTTTACTCAAGTGTTGGATCATAATAGGAGAACGATCTCTCTCAACTACTATCCTAGATTAAATGTATATCAGAAGATATTGGTGAAACAAGCCTTGATGCATTCAGATAAGAGTATTCATACAAGATTACCTTGTTAGGTTCCTGGCTCAAGTGTTGTTTAACAACAGTCATCTGCTGAATCAGCCTTTCCAAGGACGAATAGCTTGGTTGCTTGGTATGTGCTACACCAATGAATTCCAGAGAAAATATTAGAACTTGTAAGACGTGCTAGACATTTTACTTTTCAAATACAAAGTTCACAAGATTGAACTTTAAAAAGATATACATTAAAGTAAATGAGCCAGAAAACATGTTATATACATACATGTACCTAAAATTGCGCGATTTATCTTATCTGCAATATCTTGTCTATAGTCAAGGCTGATAAGATGAAATGATGGTGATTTTTCTGGTTCATCGTAAGCAAGCAAAGCCAAAAACTCCTGCAACAAATGCAACTTATTTTCAGAGATAACATCATACACGTATACTAGGAAGCAGAGCAGACATGGTTGAAATGATACCTCAAGCTTCACAACATACTTTTGCACACTGCCATAAGGACTCAGGTTCTCCTGAGCAAATCGAAGAGCTTCGCCGCTGTCAAGGGAATAATCTATTAATAAGAGACATTCTTTGTGAAGTACGAGAAACATTAAGTGTAATATTTACCATTGTCCTGAGCACACAAGCTTGACAAAGTGAAGGCTCAAAAGATCAAAGTGCAAATCCGTATTTTCCTCTAGTAAATCTGGTGCTACTTCTTTTGTGAGTTCAATAGCTTTGAGGGTGTTGTCTTCTAAGATAAACTTGATGATTCCTAACATAAATGGGAAGTCAAAACACATACTTGGAGTAAAGCCAGAGCAAGAGTAATGCATGAAGAAATTAAATAGAACAAACAGCACATCTAGATTTTGCCTTGCAGGCTGCATAACAAAGGATAATTGCTCCATAAATAAATAACTAGTTTTTCTCTCATTTAAACTAGTGGCCAACTACATGTGGATTCTTTTTTAGGTGAAGCTTTCATCTGGACATGGCTTTGCATAACATTGACACAAATGACATGTTCCAGAAAAGGCTGACTTTAGCAATCTCACAAGACATGGATACACTTTGCCTAGTTCATAGGCTGGGATGGCACAAGTTCTTTGAACTAAATGTTTACAACGTATTAAGACATTTGAGAGTCTGGGTTTGCCCCCTTCTCGGTCTTGGAGTTTCCATGAAAGGAATGTATTGAGTTCACCAGTTCTGAGTCATAATCCATGCTCACAGAGGAAAACTATATATTCAATTCATTGGTGCTCCATGCTTCTTTTTCAGTGCTACCACATACTTCATGAGTTTGTAAAGTACCTACTTTCATCTATACCTTTCCTTTCAATAATTACTATACTGGGAGAGACATATCTTAAACTTTCCTTGTCTACAAGTATCATAATTGTGACAGGTATTTCAAAAAATTATCCATTTAATCAGACATTAAAAGTGAATATACTAATACCTTATATCACTCCTGCATATGCCCTTTTTAGGGCCTAGCAATTCAGACAATAGGATTTTGATACCTAAGGTCTAAGGATACCTTCACCGTTTTCTAAAAAGTATGATTGTTTTCGAACCATATATAGCTTGAATCAAGCTATGTCACAGATATACAAATCATAGAAAAATTCACTTATAAGGAGGTAGTTGGAGTCTTGGGGAGGGGGTTTACTTTTTCTTCTATCGATATCTTCAAGACAATCAGTCGGCTGCTTTATCCCAGTACATTCAACAAAGGACTCCGCGGTCTCTTTAAAACAATTATGTACAAGATATGATAGCACGATGTTGTGGGTGTCACTGTCACTTACAGCCTGTCAGGAAGAAAAAAGAAAAAAAAGATGAGATAACTAGATAACTTAAAGCACTGAAAATATAAAACTGTAATCAATATCCAGGGAGCTCAATGATCATTTGATCACATAGAATTAAAATAATTTGCAACTGCAAATCCCAGCTAGAACGGAGACCATCCATCAACATATAAAGTGCAATGACAAATAATCTATTACTGAATTGCTAATAAGATTAAGTTGTCAGATACCTCCGTCTGAATGATTGGAATCCTCGTTCCACCCATAGTAATGCAAAAGTTCAAACACGTGATTTTAGATAATTCAACAGCCAAATCCCAATCCGCTAGTTTTAATACAAAATTTATCACAGAATAGTATATGAGTATATGACACATAAACAACCTATTTAAAAAGAGACATATAATTGTTCATCTAATTTGAAATAGAACCCCTCAGTCTGAAAGTATATTCTACACTGTTTTTGAAGCCAATAAGACATAAAGTCCTCAACACTTCTCAATCATATCCTAAATTAGTACATTGTAAGCTCTGGACAACTTAAGGTTCAGTTAACTAGGTGGCAGATCCAAACAATCCTTCTCAATTCTTTACCGGATGAAAACTGGTAATAAGAGCTCATCAATTAAACCAGGTCATATATACACTTATCAAACCCATTAAATATTTTATAAGTACAATCCAACAAGCAAAAACTATAACAGAAACAGAATCTGGAGACTAAAAAACTAATCTACATCAATATCATATTAACATTCATGAAAGTGGCCAAGTCAGCATTGGATACGACTATCCACATCAGATTGATACATTCAGAGTTTGTATGTTTTAGATAAGCAAATAAGGCTAGGTCACTTGAGACTACATTGGTACAATAGAAAGGTAAAAGTTTGAATAGTGAAGAATAACCGTTGCATTTAACTCAATTCCTAACAACATATCACTGCGGTCTAATGTGGCATATTATTTGGCAATAGAGGGAGGGTCAATAAAAAAAAAATGCAGCCATACATGTAGGCTACATTCATTGCTCATTATGCAATAACAAATAACATCAAAAAAAGACGACCAAAGCTCATTTATCAAAAGCTAAAAGTAACATTGCTTCCTCCGGATCACTAGGGTACTCAAAGCATGTTCTAAATACCTAACCAACACATTCAATTCAGTAGACTTTTGATGCAGAAAAACCGCCATCGCCAAACACAATTTGCACAATGTAACCCGGTTCAAGCACATGCTAAGTACAAATCAACTCCCAACAAATACAAAATCCATCAAAAAATTAACAAGAAGCAACCTTTTCGAAAACTATTACTCCGTAGATTAGACCCTTGTATCAGAAAACACCCAAGCAACTTAACCAATCATATTCAACCCAAATGTTAAATTTCTCCCCAATATCAACCTGATCAGATAACATTGCACTAGCAGTCTAGCATTACAGATCCAACCAAACACAATTAAACCACCCAAAATGAAATACAACCCACCTACATTGTTCAAATCAATTTACAAAAATAATTCTAATCACAAAATCCTACCACATAGTAACAAATAACAAAAAAATTAGGGTTTTGAATTTCGCTAGTTCTGCGGAAAAAAAAATCCCCTTTTACAAAAATTACAATCAAAGGGTAGAACATAAGCAGCAAAGTTGAAAATTGAAGTAATTACTCGATGAAATTAGTACAAAGCAATGAAGGAAAATTTTAATTTTTTAATAAATTACAAAAAAAAACCCTAAAAAGATTGAAAATTTTAGTGAAAATACAACTTACGATGTTTTCGTAATGCCGCGGATCCAACTCCATTTCTCCGTTGAGAAGAATTTACAGGTGCCCGTGTGATTGGAATTGACAAGATAGAGAGATAGAAAGAGAAGAAAGATAGCCCAAGAATTTTGAGTCAAGTATAATAGATTTTAAATATAGAAATGGCAATTTATTGGAAGACTCTTTGGTGTTAAAGGCTATAAGGCTATAAGCTGCTACTTAGTACTTCTCATTTCAAAAGAGTTTCATCTTTATAGTAATCACCCTACTTAAAAGTTTCCAATTTCCAACTAATGTGTAGAGACTAGAAATGGAAATGGGTCGGACTGGCACGAGAGCCGAATAAGCACGAAATAAAAATAGTTTGATCTGACACGAACCTATTGCAAGTTCGAGATGGTACGAGAGGTAGGACTAATGTGTAGAGACTAAAGATGGAAATGGGTCGGCCGGCACGAGGGTTGAATAAGCACGACATAAAAATAGCATGACCCGACACGGAACTTATTGCAAGCTCGACATGGCACGAGAGGCAAGCACACAGGTGGGTCATGGATCGTGCATGGGCTTCATTTCTAAATTTTGGTATGAGCTCGGTGCGAGCATGATGGGTCGGCACACTTATACTTGACCAATTTAACCAAAAATATAAATATTATTAGGGGCTTGTTGGCATGGCACAACACGGGATGTGGGCTAGATTGTGCATGAGTTTCGTTTTTTAAAGATCGGAACAAGCCTGGCACAACACGACTATGCGTGATTATTACCCATTATTTGTTGGTACCTAATAGACTTCTTTAGTAATACTAAGCTTTGTTAGTACCAATAGACTTCTAACCAACTTTAAGTTTTGTTGGTACCAATAGACTTCTTTAGTAATACTAAGACAACATTCAATGTTCAAACACAACTTAATGCTCTCTAATCCTTTTCGTTATCCCCCTTTTCCAATCAGGTAGGTTTTAAAAAGTCTTCATTTACTAATACTTTTTACACAAAAAAAAAAAAAAAAAATTCAAACAATTTTTATACAATTTTCCACTAATTGACGTTGCCTTACATGATTTCGATGTTTAATCATCATTCTCTCTCCCCAAACATCACATAAGTTACCATGTCCTTTTTTTTTTCCCTTTTCATGTTTTTGAAAAGTGGAATTAATTAATGAAAAATTAAAATCTCTATTGCTTTAACAACTCCCATTATCATGATTCACTTTTCTTAATTTACTCCCTAATTTTTTTTTTAAAAAAAAAAAGAAACAAAAAATTTGAAATAATTATATAAACGGATTTTTCACCAAATGCCACTGAGTTATTTCGTAATTCACCATATACCACACAAAATTTTCTAATACACCAAATACCACTGAGTTTTTGGTAAATGTCACAACATACCATTAATGACTAACGGACGTTAACACCGTTAGTCATTAAGGCTAATAATGCCACGTGGCAGCTTGTGATTGGTTCCCTTCTAAATTATTTAATTTTAGCATAAATATTTAATTAATTATCAAATAAAAAAAATAAAAAACAAAAAATAACAAAAAATAATTAAAAGTAACAAAAAATAAAAACCAAAAAATAACCAAAAAGTAAGTTAAAATATTTTTTGTAAAATAAAAAACCCAACCCTTCTTCCACCCAGCCAGCCACCAGCCCCCCTGCCGGCGCCAAGCAACCCCACCCCCGGCCGGCAACGCCCAGCCTCTCTCCTCCCTTCATTCCTCCCAACACCAGCGCCCCAACGACCTTCCCCGTCCTCTCTCCTTTCTCGCACCTCACCATCACCGACCACCACCGAATTCCCTTTAATTTGGGCAAAAAAAAAAACCCCTAAAATTGGGGTAAACTGCAGTGAAATTAGTTTAGATTCAAAAATTATAGCAATTGGCAACACAAATTGTTGGAAATGGAGATTAGATGTGAAATTAGTGTTTATGAATTAGGGGTGGTGTTTGGGGAAAAGGGGAAATCGAAGGAGTTGGGGGAAAAAGGGGAATCGGAGTTGGGGGAAATCAGGGCAGGGGAAATCGGGGAAGGTGGCCGGTATCGAAAAGGGGAGGGGAAGGGGGTTTTGGGTGTGGTGGCCGGAAATCGAAAAGGGATGGGGAAGGGGGTTTTGGGTGGGGTGGCCAGAATCGAAAAGGGGAGGGAGGGGTGGGAGGCCGCCGGCGCACCTGTCGGTCTGGCCTCGGTGGCAAGGGGTTTGGCGGTGAGGTGGTCGGAATGGGCTGGCTGGTGGCAGCAGGTTTTTTTTTTTTTTTTTTACACTTTTACTTTTAATTATTTTTTGTTATTTTTTGGTTTTTATTTTTTTTATTTGATAATTAATTAAATATTTATGCTAAAAATTAAATAATTTAGAAGGGAATTAATCACAAGCTGCCACGTGGCATTATTAGCCTTAATGACTAACGGTGTTAATGTCCGTTAGTCATTAATGGTATGTTGTGACATTTACCAAAAACTCAGTGGTATTTGGTGTATTAGAAAATTTTGTGTGGTATATACTGAATTACGAAATAATTCAGTGGTATTTGGTAAAAAAATCCGTTAAATAAATAATAACAATTTACATTGTTTAAGTCATTAATAACTCAAGCCATAACGAACACCGGCTATTACCCTTACAACTTGTGCCCAACAAATCCAACATAGTAATGACAAATTGACAACGAAGAGAAAAGAACAAGATAGAGCCACGAGGTTCATGCACATATATTGGGTAACTACTCCATCCTTCTGGCTGTTATTGTAACACCAACAAACGTAACACACCAATCAACCTGTTTTCACCCTGTATTTTACTCATTTGCTTATTCATTCTAAGTCTTCAATCATTTGATCATTTCCCAATCCAAAAAATGAGCAAACTTTCTCTACTATTGCTACTATTATTCACCCTCCATTTTTCACACCATCTTTCTGAATCAAGCTCTGATCTTTTTGATTCATGGTGCAAAAAACATGGCAAAATATACCCATCTGAGCAAGAAAGACAACACAGGCTCAAAATTTTTGAAGACAATTTGGAATTTGTCAACCATCATAACAGCTTGGGAAATTCCACTTATACCCTTGCTCTGAATGCTTTTGCTGATTTAACCCACCATGAATTTAGAAGTTCTAAGCTTGGGCTTTCCAATTCTGCTAATGATTTCATCAGGTTGAAGCATAGTGAAAATCCTGTTCAGTTTCCTGATTTGGGTGTTCCTGATTCTGTTGATTGGAGGAATCAAGGTGCTGTTACTAATGTCAAAGATCAAGGAAATTGTGGTATGTTTTCTATGTTTTTTATGATTCAATTTTTGGGGTTTTAGTATTTTTGTGAAATTGAATTGAATTTTTAGGCTGGGTTTTACTGAAATTGTGAATTTTCACCTTTTAGTTTATTGGGTTGTTCTGTGTTTATGTTATTGTGGTTCTTTATTTTAAATTTTTTTTATTATTTTTGTGATTTAAGGTTAAGAAATTGTGGGTTTATTGACTGAACATCAAAATTAGCATCTGAAAGTTTTTTTGGTTGTTGGTTATTATTGATTGGGAATTTTGGGTTGATTTAATTGATAAACGGGAGATAATTGGTCTTCATCTAACTCACATTTTTTTTTAAGGTTTTCATCTTTCTGAATTATATAATGTAACTGAACAATGAACCAATAACGCTTAGGACAATGACATTCAATCTTGTTTAAAATTGAAAAGAGATATGACTTGGGCAATTCATGGTTATCCTTCTTGCAACCTTGAGACTACTTATAGTAGATGTCAAATGTAATATAGTATACACTGTGACATGGCCTATTTTTTTCCACTTTCAATGGAGCTGAAATATTTAATATTTGTTGGCTTTGATTATAATGTACCAAATCAAAATGACTAATTGAACTGGATGTACATGTTTATAATTGTGAAGAAGCCTACCCCTACCATCATTGCTTTCAGATCAATGGCCTAATGTAAAAGACCTTTTAACCGTAAGGGTAAGGTTGCAGATACCTGATAGTTGATCCTTCCAATTTTGCCGCCCTGGGTGATAAGCTGAAAGCCTTCTTAGAAGCATTGGGACAGTACTGATGTTGTTAATTGCTAAAATTCTGAAACAACTCAGGTTCTATTTTTTATATTATATTTTAAAAAGATTATTAGTTCTTGGAGGAAGTAGTGAAGTATGCTTATGAAACAATTCCTTTTTTCTTTTATTCTTTTGGTTTCAGAAATGAGTACTGCTTTGTTTTTCAGGTGCTTGCTGGGCTTTCTCCGCCACAGGGGCAATTGAAAGTGTAAACAAAATTGTCTCAGGCTCTCTTGTCAGCCTTTCCGAGCAGGAGTTAATTGACTGTGATAGAAGCTACAATGAAGGCTGTGATGGTGGGCTCATGGACTATGCTTACCAGTTCGTTATAGATAACCATGGGATTGACACTGAAAAAGACTACCCATACCAGGCTAAACAAAAATCTTGCAATAGGAACAAGGTAAGACACCTTCCGATTTATATATCTTTTAATTATATCCGTTTTATGCAATCTCACTTACCACACCTCAAGTATGGAGAAAAATATCAGCTAAAATTTAGTATTGGAGAGTTTAGGATTTTTTTTATCCTGATCATCGGAAAATCTTAAAAGTCTTTTCCTTTGTTATAAACATATATCATGGTTGATTTAGGATAGCTTGTATACAGAACAGTACAGAAAACAGCTATTGCACTGATAGTATAGTCTTATGGGAAGATATACAACTGATTTTTAGCTCCACCCCAATATTTGTTGGTGGAATTTGAAAAGTTTAACCAATGTAGGATTGTGCTGCTCTAGTGGATGAAGCTAAGACTAAAAGAGTAAACTCCTTTTTCATCTGTGTGTGTCTTTATTAGTTTAGTGACATATTAGCCTGGTGAGCATTCTGTGCAATGAGAACTAAAATTTTGCTCCGTTATTGATGCAATGACAGCTATTTTGAATTCATCCTGATCCATTTCTGTGTACTGCTATATTTTCCACTTGTATACCCTCTTGACAGTTTGGGACTACAACTATATGCCGTCTGTTAGACTGTCAGAGACATTTACTTAATTGCATGACCGCATGATGATTCCTCAGTGTCAAGTGTAAAAACATCTACTGCAGCAAGAGTTTAATTATTTTAACCTAGCCTGCATAGGTGATAGGGTGTACCGTGTAATAATCATTCTATAGTCTATACTCAAGAACTTGTCAACATTTCTTTATCCCAATCTTGTACACTTCATTTTGCCTTATGCACTTGAAAGTCCGATTTGGATCTTCAACTCTCAGACATGAGTGTGGCTGTATGGAGTATGGACACTTGACACTTCATTTTGGACTGAAAAGAAAGACATGTTTTGCAAAATAAAGGAGTTCAACACTTGGGACTCGTACCAGTTTGAGCATATAAATTTCCTTCCCAGTAGATACTAAAGTTATAATTGAAATAGCATTCACACTCCAAAAACACTCCGCCTTTGTGGAAAAGAAGAGAGAAATCAAACCAACCCTTTAATTGATCTAATGCTTCCTGTTTCAGCTTGTCTTTTATTGGCATAGTTGCTGACCTTTTGAGCTATAGAACTCAAAGAAACCTGTGTTTTTTCTATTGCAGCTTGCGAGACATGTGGTAACTATTGATGGTTATGCTGATGTCCCTCCTAATAATGAGAAAGAACTTCTAAAAGCTGTTGCCGCTCAACCAGTAAGTGTTGGCATATGCGGCAGTGAGAGAGCATTCCAGTTATACTCCAAGGTTAATTTCTTCGCTATTGGTCCTCTTGGCTTCTGATACAAAAAGCTTTTGTGTTTTGACATGAAGATTTTACTTGTTCAATTTTACTTGTTTTTTTTCTTTCAGGGAATCTTTTCTGGCCCATGTTCCACCTCTGTAGATCATGCTGTTCTGATTGTTGGTTATGGTTCAGAGAATGGAGTTAATTACTGGATAGTTAAAAATTCATGGGGAACTTCTTGGGGTATGAATGGCTATGTACACATGCAGCGGAACAGTGGAGATAAAAGTGGAATTTGTGGCATCAATGTGATGCCATCATATCCCACAAAAACAAGCCCTAATCCACCACCACCACCACCTCCCGGACCTACTAGGTGTAGTTTGTTCACATCTTGTCCAGCAGGTCAGACTTGCTGTTGTGCACGGAGCTTTCTTGGTATATGTACAACTTGGAAATGCTGCGAGTTAAATTCTGCAGTATGCTGCAAAGATCATATCCACTGTTGTCCTCATGATTATCCAGTATGTGATACACAAAGGAATCTTTGTCTCAAGGTTAGTATCTAGTTCATTCTGTTTAGCAAATGTTTAATTGACAGCTGGGGGTAATTGAAATAGCAGGAAAGAAAAGATCATTCATTGTGCATACACTTGAATTTCTGACTGCTGTGTGTAAAATTGTGTTTAGACACGATGGCTCTCACTTTTTAGTTAGACAAGAAAATTAAACAAATTGTGTTAAGACTCTTAAAAGTAACTAAGAGGGTCTCAGTTTAACTCTCAAACACCAAGACATTAAAGATCATCCCTAAAAGGTAAAAAAAGTCACCGATCTCCCAATAAGTTATTTGGAGACCGTTTGATACAACTTTTTGCCTGGTGGGTTTAGTTTTTCATATCTAAGAATGCTTTCTAACACCTGTTTGAATATCATGCTGTGTTATCTCTTGCAATATGCTGTCCTTTACTCCTTTTGAGTTTTGTGATTTTAATCATGCTGACTTGGTTGTGTGCTATGACTTATTAACAAATTACATTACAATTTCTTCTGCAATTGGTTGGAATTTGAATTTTATGGTTCTGTGATGTGGTTGATGAAGTGTTTAAATTGGTAATACTAACACAAACTCACAATTGTTGATCTTGCAGCGAACAGGATATATTACTTTAGCCAAACCATTTAACAGCAGACAGAGCAGCTTGTGAAGAATCTGGCAGTTTGAAGTTCCCTTGTATTCAGTAACTTGGTGTTTGAAACTATCCTTGGATGCTTGTACGTATTCTTTTTCACATTTCGACGATAGGGGGGCAAGGTAGATGAAGCTCCCCATGCTATATAGAGGAATTCATGCAGTATATTCGACATTGCGCATCTTTGTACTGTTGTACATGGTGGAAAATAGATACAGTTTGATGTCGTTTATGCTGAAGGAGAGTAGAGGGTGATGATTTTGCAGTATATGCCTTGTTAATATCATAGTGTTCTGCTGAAGAAGCTTTTCTACTCTTACAGCAGTGTTATTAAGGTCCGACAGTTAGATTTTCATGTGTTCATGTAATATACTGGTATTTGCCTTGCTATGGTTGTAAACAGGGTCAGGGCTCAAATATTCTTGGGGACATTGTGTTTTTTATTAATATAATCGGAGCCCTGAATGATGAGGAAAGCAGTTAAAAATCCGTTGCATAATGAGTGCAGTCGATGTTTATCAAGCTTCGGCTTCCATTAATTAATATTATCATAGTTCTTGCGTTTAAAAAATAATCAGTAGTCGATCCCCAAAAATATAATAGGTTTTTGGATATAAACACTCAAAACAGAGATGTACATGGTACCCAAACTTGAATCAATATTAGTCTTCAAAAAATTTAGATTTGGGTGCTCTATGCTTCAACAAATTCGTGTTTATGATGCTGTTTGCCGCATTTCCTGACGAGTTGAGACTTTAAGACAATGTGACACCTAAATCTAAAGAGTGTCTGACTTGAGTGACTGCTAGAGTAAATGGCCATCTCAGTGACCTTTAAGGCTTTAACATAAGTAATTGCACAGCAGCAAAGACCCCAAGTCATGCAAATAAGAACCAGAATCAAGCAAGTTCTTGTGGTGCAACTCAACTTTGAACAATTCTGTGCCCGAATTCATATCGAATTATCAAATAGCCAAGCGTCAGTGTTCATACACCACAACTAATGATATCTCAAATAATCAACTTCTGATTCATAGAAAAACAGTGAAAATGTCCTTCAGCAATTCCCAGTTGGGACAACAGATAAATACTCACTTATCTCTATATACATCTTGAAGCACTTGAGCAGTTAAAAAGTTCAAACACAGATGTGGCAGTTCTTCTAAACTGATTCTGAAGTAGAAGACCATGATTATACAATTCTTGATTTGTATATGCAATGATAAGGCAGAGGCGTACATGCAGCATGCCCATGCCGCAATAGGAGGACCTGCCGTCGCTTCTCAGGTAATCAGAAAATGTGCAGGAAACTGAGCTGTTTCTATCAATTGTCAAGTTATAGCAATGCAGTAGTCATATAATCTAACCGTCACCTGCATTGATATTTTAGTCGAAATTGAGGTAACTATGCCACTCAAGTATGTTCATTGCTAGAAGGTAAAGTGACAAAGAGGACACCAGACTCTACTAAGAGGAAAAAGATAGATGGGCAATCTTTACAGACAGAACACAGCATCCAAGTTACACAACAGTCGGAAAAATACACAAGGTAAACATCAAATCTCTCCATTAGGATACAGTTTACACCATTGATTCGGTCACAGAGATTGTTGCAAATGACGTCTCAAAAACAATTACTGTAACAGCAAGGGTACAAAAAGTACAAGAAAATGAGCAGAAGGTAACTACAATATCCTCTAAGCCTTCCCTTAGGATACTTAAAAATTGATATCAGCAGAAGATAGCAGGTAGGAATAATTCCTTCTGCAGTACACCACAAAGCAATGCAGGCTCAAGCTTGCAAACAACCTGTAGGCTGTAGCGGAGTTTATAGCCTGCTATAGATATTGCCAGAGTGCTACACTAACATGGCTTCTTTACGTGCATGCACAATACCAACCCATCCCCCCCCCCCCCCCAACAACCCTCCAGGTCTGGGTCATAGACAACTTCCTGTCACCAGAACAATTTTGAGAATGTCCATTAGCCTAATTAATCCTCTATTTAGAGAGGTTACAGAAACAACAGCAAACTATCCATGATAAAGCAACAAAATGTAAATGATTTGGTGCGGCAATTTTACTTGCTACACTCTGGCTGAATATCAATCTTGACACCGATAAGACAGGATCAGATGAGGCAGGAAAGGTTACTTACAATATCACTTTCTTTTCCTCCAAAATAAGCAGAATTTAGAGCAAGAGAAGGCAAATATAACAATAATTTGCCGATTTCCTTACAATTCCTCTAAAATTAACTAACCAAGTGAAGGAATTCTATCAAGTCCAGCAGAACAAACCAAAGGAAATAATAATCTCCTTCATTTCCCTTCCCTTTCCTGCTCTAGGTTCCAAATGCTGGCAAAAATAACTATCAAATTCACACTTCATGTAATTCAAATCACACTACAACATGTACAATGACCCAAATTAACAATCCAATTCCAAGACATTGCTATTTGCACAATATAATATTCCCACCCAAATGACATAATTCATCCAGTCAGTGTTGTATACTTGTACAACGAATGTATAGGCTGCACAAAATTTATCCTTTCTGTGATTCAGGGTGAATGAATTTCATAAAAATTGCAACAACCAAAAAGCTCACACATTTTTAGTATCAGTGTCGCAATTTTTTTGAAACGGAGGAAGTATGTTTTTATATACTCCGTATAAAATTTGCAATCAATCACACTAAAAGTCATTCAAGAACACAAAACAACACAACAACTACTCCATAAAAATATATTCCCATTACGCACAAATAACAATCATTTACAACCTTTATACCAATACATTCATTCATTCCAACCAAAAAAAAATATAAAAAGTTACCTATCTATTCACAAACCTTCTCTCATTCTCCCTCAATATAATCAAGAAGACGGAAACACATCCTTAACAGCAGAAGCAGCACTCAAATAGTTCAAAGTATTCCTCAACGTCTCCTTCTCCCTCCTCAACCTCGCCGCGGTATCCTCCAGCTCAAGCAACGCCTGCTGCTCACGGGGAGCACCTTCAAACGTACTCCCAACGAAGAACGAAAACGGTGTCGGAAATAAATTCCTCCTCAAATCCCCAATTTCCTTCTCTTCTTTCCCATTCAATCGATTGCTCAAACGAATTACATCCCTCATGTAACTCTCCACATCCTTCGCCAAGCTCTCCAAATCTTCGTGGGACCCATCAGAGGAGGGTTTATCCTCCAGCCAATCAACGGCTGCCACGAGGTAGGGTTTGGACCGTACGATCTTGTTGATTCGAAATCGTTCTTGACCTTTACAGATTAGGAAGAAGCGATCGTCGGCGAGACGCTCGTGTTTGACGACTTCGCCGACGCAACCGACGGAGGTGGCGGAGGAGGAGGATAGCGTGTCGGAGAAGATAACCCCGAATCGGAGGTCGGTTTGGAGGAGGGTGTTCATCATGATTCGGTATCGGAACTCGAAGATTTGTAGAGGGAGGATTGAGCCGGGGAAGAGGACGAGTGGGAGGGGGAAGATGGGGAGCTCAACGACGTCGTTTTGTGGGGTTGGGTTGGGAGATGGTGGGTTGTTCTGGGGTTGGGAAGAGGAGGATGAAGCGGAACAGCGGAGACTAAGTAGTCTACGGCGTTGATGACTGAGACAGAGCGGAGTTGAAGAGTTGAGGGAAATAATGGGGGTTGTTGGAGGTGAAGGAGGGTTTAAAGAGGGTTTAAGGGAGGTGGAGTAATGGAGGAATTGAGGGAGCGCCATTGATGGAGGAGGAGGAGAGAGAAAATGGGAGATGGGTTATTGGGTTATGTAGATTTGGGTTAGAGGAGAGAGAGTGAGGAAGGGAAGAGAGGAGAGAGAAAAATGATTGGCATTGTGTGTTTGTGGATCAAGGGGATGAAGATGAAGATGGAGGTGGTGTTTTCTGGGATTGATTGAGGGTGAAAGGGGAGTGAGAGTTTGGGTGGTGGAATTTTGGGGAGGTTTGTGGATTTTTTTAGGGATTTTGGATGTGGTTTTGGGGAGTTACACGTGAGAGATTGGATAATCTTTGGATTTGTGTGTTGTTGTGTGGCACGTGCTATTTGAGAGGGATGATAATTTCTTGCTTTGAAAAATCATACTCAAGAAGTTAAGATTGAATGTGTAGCCGTGTAGGGACGAGGTGGTAAATGGGTCGGTAGGATCAGATTTATTTCGAATCAAAATGATGCGAGTTGAATTTTGAGTGGAGTGAGTTATGGTAAGGAAAAGTCTATTTTATAAGGGGAGATTTTAGAGAAATTCATGTGAATAAGTTTGATGAGATTCGACCCCTAAACTTATGTTTGTAAGTTAGAGAGTTAGTTAACTGTTGTAGCCTCTTGTATTATTTTATGTATTTTTGGCTGGATGATGGAATTTACTTGGTACACATATTGCATTCATGCTCAAAAGTTGTGTATTATTAGGGGGGTATAATAACGAGTATTCTACAAAATGCATATGAAATCAAGAATTTAGGTATAGGATTAGATTTTGATTCGAATCCAAACGATGTGAGTTGGATTTTGAGCGGGTTGAATTATGGTAAGGAGAAAGTTCATCTTAAAAGGGGAGATTTTAGAGAAGGAGCTTAATGAGATTCGACTCCTCACATCACGTTTGTAAGTTAAAGGACTAGTTAACTACTCCAAGTCTCCATCCTCCTTCATCATTTCTTTGATTGGATGATGGAATTTACTTGGTATACATGTTGCATTAATGCTCAGTAGTTGTGTATAATAGGATTAATAACAAAAAGTATTATAGAAAATGCATCTGACATCAAGAATTTAGGTATAGGAACTATATATTTCTGATTTTCTAAACATGTCTAGAGATAAATCATCAATAGAGTTGGATCATGCAAACCCACTTGCTATATTGCCCTACCTAGTCAAGTTTGGAATGAGCGAAGGAAAAATACACCTATTCTATCATTTGGAGGCCTCACATGGGATAACTCAAGTGGTTAAAGCTTCCCCCTCTGTTCCAGGTTATTTTGGGATCGATTTTCATCTCTCGCCCTTTGTGGCTTTCTAACACCAAAAAAAAATAAATTTGGAGGCCTCACATGCATAACTCGGCTCATATGCCATACCAACAAACACCTTTAAGATTTTTTAGTCATCTTGGTTTATGTTTAAAAAAATGCCTACATGTTGTGTTCATGCCAAATTTGGAATATGATATACATACACCGGATACACGTTCCACAACCCATAGGCATATCTTACAATGCTGAGCCAGCAACGAGCTCATGCCTGCTCAAATACATCGACATGGGTATCATGTTGAAAAATGAAAACAAAGGCCATTGGAAATATATATTTCCACAAGCAAGTGCAGTGGAAAATTTTGGGCAGGAAATAAGAATTATGAAGAGAAATGTCAACCCAGCAAGTCAGCAACAAAAACAGCCCAAAATAGTATGGTAGTGCTACTCCCAATCAAAATGAGAAAATCAAAGCCCAATAACATAATAATTGGCCCAACTCTGGACAATAATGACTTGATTGACTTCTATGTGCATCTAGTTGACTTATGCAGTTGTCAAATACTTTTTCCGTTTTTTTTTTTTCAAATGCAACATTTTAGTTTTGCATAATTTAATTAAATGTATAATCACTTATTTTCAGTAATCTATTGAAAGCATATGTTACAAAGTAAAATGCTGTTGGATTTTACATCTCTTTAATTATGATGTATTTATATACTAGAAGAATTGTTTAACTCAAGAGTCGAAAAGGGCAAGTTCAAGTTTCTATGTGCACCCAAGTGGCCAAGTACATATGCATACAAACATCTCTTGATCATCAAAAAAAAAAAGAAAAAAAAAAGAAAATATTACATAGTGATCTACATCCCAAAAAGACAAAAACCATGTAAATATCTTATATTTTGGATCAAATGGAGTAACATTAAATGCTTATCAATTATACAATTTGTATAATTTGAGAAAATCTCCAATGGGTACATCCCAACTTTATTTCAACATATAGAAGTTGTAACTTGGTCCCATCAAATTAAGATAACAAATATGCCCTTTCTAATCGTATTCTATGATAATTATTTTCTCTCCATACTAATTATAACGTGTAAAATTTATTTATTGCAAATATCGTTACATACAAACTTATAAATTACAACTATAAAATTAAACATAACGAACTTAACTGTAAACACTGGTAAACGTAAACCTAGCTTAAAACCACAACTACAATAAAACGTACAATACAGTACTTAGCTTCATACATAAAATATAGAACACACACACCACTGCACCGTGGTTCATGACCACACTACATATATAGTACATGATTCATTAGTATGTACTAATCAATTCGGCGGTGTTGATTGACATGTTTTCATTCAGAAATTGGGCACGAAGTTGCTCTACCACCTTCCTATCCACCTGATACGCCTTGGTAAGAACACCATCTAAAATTCGTGGTTTAGTCCCAAACACACCATTAGCAACATTAACTCGCCCCGGATTTTGGCTTCCAAATGAAGCAACAGCCAAAGCATCTGTCCTCTTAATATTAGCTTGGAAATGGATTAGACCTTGAGGAAAAACAATCATATCACCTTTCTTAAGTATTGTGTCATATAACTTGTTATCACTTGTCACAAAACCGGCATACAGTGACCCCTCCACCACGGCAAAAATCTCCGAGCCACGAGGATGCCAGTGAGGGGTGTTTAGACCAAAGGGTGCAAAGTCTACCCGTGCCAAGGACACCCCTTGTGTGTTAACACCGGGGAATCGATTAATGTCGATTAGTGTTGCATTTGCTCCATCAGTGTTGTATGTGTCTCCGCGAATGTTAAACCCTTTGAACAAGAAATCGTTTATAGTCACATGATTAGGGTCCTTGCAAAGCTTTCCATTGACGACCACTGCAAAATGTTGATCATAAAAAAAATGTCACTAACTAATAATAACATACAAAGTAACATGTATAAGTAACAACTCTTGTTGAAGTATGTCCTACAAAATAACACATGTAAGTGTCACACATTGAGAAAAGAAGAGAGAGTCAAAACACTTTATAAGGATAAGGGGCTACTCCTCCTATTGCCATATGATTGTGGGATGGAACTTTCTTTGGTCTTGTGAAGTGGACTATCTCTTGGTTTGTGGGTGCGGTCCAAACCCGTATTTAACCTGGTATCAGAACCAGGTTGTGTTGTGATTTAAGCCAGTATTGAAAGTGTTGTCCCACATTAAAAGAGTGTAAAAAGTGAAGAAGAGTATTGGGATGTGTATCCCACATTGAAGAAAAGAGAAAGTTGTGTCCACTTTATAAGGTTAAGGTGCTACTCCCCTCATTGCCATATGGTTTTGAGGTGAAACCTCCTTGGTCGTATAAAGTGAACACTCGTGACGGGTGTGGCCAGGCCCGTTTATCAACTCTATCTTATTTTCGAGGTACACTTAAGACCTATCAGTATCCAATAAAGGTACATTTTGCTTTTCATTCAAGGACATTTGAAGAAATTTAAATAAATAAAATTGATTAAATGAACAAAGAAAACACCCATGGGTACATCATACGCCAACCTTTTGCATATGCGCGCATATGCAAAGGTACATATGCTAGGATAACTAAGTAAATAAACTAAAAATTAACAAGAAGTAAGCGAGTACAGGTCGCACCTGCTGAATGAGGGTTGCTTACACCTATACAAAAATCTTGAAGAGGTGTAGGATCGGATGCAAGGGCTACGTAAAACATAAAACTCGTAGCAAGGGCTACGTATAACGTAGTCATGACAAATAAATTTGACATAATATAATAAGCAAAGTAAATGGCTTTATAATCCTATGTATCTAATACTTGAAATTTGAGATTTTTTGTAGTATAAATAATGGTAATATATGGGGGGGGGGGTTTTATAGCTGAGATTGCAATAATTAAAAGCTATTTTTCTTGTAATAGTCATACTTTTATGGTTGACAATCTTATCATCTACAGTAACGCTAGCTAATTACTCTAATTAGGATTGACTGTATTAGGCAAGTGTAGATTTGCTTATAGAAGTCGTACGTAATAATATTAATCTACATGAATTTCTCAGAAAAATCTACATTATGCATTAATTCGGTTGCTTGTTGATCTCCTTCTCCTTGTGGCTAGCTAGGTTGAAATAAACGAGGACGCGTACACAAATTAAAATGTGGGAAAAATAAAAATGGCTGCGACGAAGAGTATAATAGCGTTTGGCTTGAAGGTGATGCAATCTACAAGTATGTGGTAAAAACGATTAGGCAAAATTGTCCATACAATTTTAGTATGTCTTTTACTGATTTTGTTATTTCTCATGTCATGATGGCAAATAATGCATTGGCTAATTTAGTGGCAATTCAAGCTTGGAGACTTTAATTAAGGGCTGTTCAGAATTATTCTTTCACTCCAAAGCATTTTAGCTTTACCAATTAAACTCATATAATAACTAATTAATTAAGCTAAGGCCTTGAATGGTGAATAGTCTATCTAGCAAAAAAATCAAACTTTTTTTGAAGAATTTTTAATATTTCATGTAGGGAAAGTAAATAAAACTATTACATCATAATACAATATAGTCAATAGCAATCTAATATATATATATATATATATATATATATATATATATATATATATATATATATATATATATATATATATATATATATATATATATATATATATATATATTTGGGTAGTTTTTTCCAAAGATTTTAGAGAGCCACCTAGGATTTTTAATTTTAAAAAATTATTAGAGCGCCATGTAGGATTAGTATTTTTAGAGCGTTACTTATAGGATTATGCCACGTAGGATTGTTATTATAAAGAGCCACCTAAGATTATAATTAAAAATTTAAATATATTATAAAAATAAAATACTATCTCTTTAAATTGGATATTTTATCTAAGAGGAAAGAAACAATTTATTTTAATTCGTATATATAAAAAAAATACTATTAAATTTTTAAAAAAATAAAATTCACGTTCATTTGATATTTAAAAAAAATTGGATTAGATAAAAAAAATAATGAAAATATGACAAGTGATTATAATAAAATATTTTATAAAAAATATACTAATAAAAAAATAAAATCACATTAAATTATATAAAGGGGAGTTTTTTCCCAAGATTTTAGAGAGCCACCTAGAATTTTGATTGTTAAAAATTATTAGAGCGCCATGTAGAGCATTATGTATAGGATTTTTCCACGTAGGATTGTTATTTTAATTTGTTTTTTTAAATATCAATTGAACGTGAATTTCATTTTTTGGGCTCAATGTTGATATTTTAAAAAAAAATGGATTAGATAAAAAAATAATGATAATATGACAAGTGATTATAATAAAATAATTTATAAAAATATACTAATAAAAAAAATGAAATCACGTTTAATCAAAAAAATATCAGTTTTCTCTAAAAAAAAAAAATAGTTTCAAATTAAATAAAAAAGAAAAAGAAAAATCCATTGAAATTAAAAATATATCCTTTCTCTTTTTCTAGCAAAAAAAAAAAATATTCATCATTTATTTGTCTTAAAGATTAAGTTCTACGTTAACAAAATAAAATTGGCGATTGAAATTTTAAAGTTTAAATTAATAAATATAAATATAAAATATTATCTTTTGATATTAGGAATTTCATCTAAATCTATAACGAATCAGAGAAAATTTACAATTTATTTTAAAATAAATAAAATAAAAATATTAAATGGTAATATGATGTACTACGTACAACGAATAAATAAAGTAACAAATTTTATCACAAACATAGGAAAAAAATATAAGCTGTAAAAAAATAACAAACAAACTGTGCATCGCACGGATTTCATCTAGTATATATATACATGAAATATATAGGTTTAACTGATGAATTGAATATAAGTAGTGTAAGAGGGAATAATTAATAATTAATGAAAGCTAAGGGATAAGCAAGTCTAGAGGAATAAATCAATGTTGAAGACCTATAATTCTATAAAACCATAATTAAATTTTAAAAAATATATGTAGTTACATATTAAAGTCGGAGGCGAATCGATAATTAAGGTTTTAAGTCGAATCATGCTACTCCAACTAGGAGTAGGATTTTTTTTAAAACAGAGTCGAATTTTGATTATTTTTTCTCGAATTCGGCTCTTTTTTTTTTTTTTTTTTTCCTCTTTGGATCATATATATCCGATCCGACTAGGGTTGAATCCGGACTAGATTGTCATCCATACTTCTATACAAAACCACTAAGTGCATTTTAATTCTGTATTACCTAAGCTGCAACGTCACAATAATTTCTAATTAGGGGTGTTTCTATTTTTTCACCAAAAAATTATTTAAACTGAATTGTTAGATCAAATCTGATTAGTCCTGATTTCAGATTATACTTACATCTAATCAGACTAGAAAAAGTGTAGAGACCACACTTAAAAAATTGTAAAAATCTGAATGAGAATACAAAATATAACTATATAGTTATCCTAAGATTGATCGAACAAGATCTAACAATATACTTTATGTTGTGCGACAGCGGAAGCAAAGGTCGTAAACAAACAAGAAAACAATAAAGAAATTCAATGCAAACAATAAGAACAACACCAAGAATTTACGTGGTTCACTATCGATGTGATAGCTACGTCCACGGGCACCGAGATCGAATGATTTCACTATAAACTGCAAAGATTACAAAGATGATTCTTGTATTTCTCAAGAACGGCTCTCACTCTGTCTCTCTTTACCCTAATACTGATATTAGGGAGGTTTTATATTAATCCCTAATTAAAAGATACTTGGGCAAAAAGATAATAAAATAAGATAACCTAAAACCGCAAAATCCGCGTTCCGTATTTTTCCTTCTCCGCCCGGTCAGACCGGGCAAGGTCTGCCCGATCGGGCGCGAGAAGAAGACTCCATACGAATGCTTCAACGTATCCAACCCCCACCGCCCGGTCAGACCGGGCAAGGTCTGCCCGATCGGGCGAAGGCTCGCCCGGTCGGGCGAAGGCTCGCCCGGTCGGGCGCGAGAGCAGCTTCTTCAACGAATTTGCCAGGCACCTCTTCTTCTTCCGCCCGGTCAGACCGGGCAATGTCCGCCCGATCGGGCGGACAAAGCTACGAAGTACGAGTCACCTAATATACTTATCAACAATCTCCACCTTGACGAGAACTCGTAGTCAGCAAACGACCCCATCAAGACATAGTGAAAAAACATCTCAAGCCAAACCCGATGCAGGACTCATGCATAAGCCATACATCCCGATAAGTCTTCAACCAAGACCCATCACATACTCGTCTCCAAGTATAACAACTCATAATGCTCCACCTGCATCACAAGCCCCGGGCAAGCTCCACCTTAAGGCCAACACACCTACACCAGGAGCTCCCCAACTTCGCCCCTCAGGGCCTACTACATCACGTAGTAATCAATATTTAACAAGTCTAAGCAATGTTTAAACTTGCTAAACGGAACAGGCTTAGTGAAGAAATCAGCCGGGTTGTCAGCAGTCCCAATCTTCTTCACCTTAATCCTCTTGTCAGTACGTAAGAAATGATACCTGACATCAATGTGCTTCGTCCGATCATGGTGTACTTGATCTTTAGCTAAGCAAATCGCACTTAGACTATCACAATACACTGTAGCAAAATCCTGTGCAATACCCAGTTCACCTACTAGGCCTTTGAGCCAAATAGACTCCTTAGCTGCAGAAGTTAAAGCCATATACTCAGCTTCAGTAGTTGACAACGTAACTGATGACTGCAATGTAGACTTCCAACTAACCACAGAACCACCCAAAGTGAACACATAACCAGTCACAGACCTCCTGGTATCCACATCAGCTGCATAATCAGAATCACTGTACCCAGTGACCAAGCATTCCTTACCATTCCCGTACACAAGACCAATATCAGCTGTCCCTCTCAGGTAGCGAAAAATCCTTTTCACCCCTTGCCAGTGTTCCCTCCCAGGTCGAGCCATAAACCTGCTTACAACACTAACAGCATGCGCAATATCCGGCCTAGTACAGACCATAGCATACATCAAACAACCAACCGCGTTTGCATATGGAACTCTAGACATATAAGACAACTCCTCCTCTGATTGAGGTGACATAGACAAAGACAACTTACAACTAACAGTAGTTGGCGTACTTATAGGCTTCGATTTTTCCATCCCAAAACGAGACAAAATCTTTTCAATGTAGCTTTTCTGAGTCAAGAAAAGCTTACCTCTAGCCCGATCCCTGTAGATCTCCATACCCAAAATCTTCCTAGCTGCACCCAAGTCTTTCATGTCAAACTCCGAGTTAAGCATCTCCTTTAATCTTTTGTACCACTGTCGGGGGGATTGCTTAAGTCCATACAATGACTTTAGCAATCTGCAGGCATAGTGTTCCTTTCCAGGAGCTTCGAATCCTTCGGGCTGCTTCATCAGAATCTCCTCCTCCAAATCGCCATGAAGGAAGGCCGTTTTAACATCCAACTGCTCCAGCTCAAGATCAAAATGTGCTACAATTGACAATAACACACGGATAGAAGTATGTCGAACCACAGGTGAGAATATCTCAACAAAGTCAACCCCTTCTACCTGACTGAACCCCTTAGCAACTAGCCTAGCCTTAAAACGTATTTGCTCAGTTTCCGACAACCCTTCTTTCTTCTTGTAAATCCATTTACAACCCACAAGCTTCCTCCCTTCCGGTACCTTTACCAGTTCCCACACTCTGTTCTTGTAAAGGGACTGCATCTCTTCACCCATTGCGGCAAGCCATTGCGCAGACTCACTACAACTAATTGCTTGTTTATATGTGGCAGGTTCAAATGACTCTACATCATCAGCTACACTCAATGCATA